ATTGCAGGAGGAAAATCTCTTGGCCAGCCGTCCATTACTGACTCATTGCCATTAATAGCGTCAGTTGGAGGCTTTTACCACATCGATAAATCGTTCTTACCACAGTTAATTCCATAGGTTCGCGGCAATTATTCAGAATTCCTTACCTTGCTTCCCTTTGGCACGCCAGCAACAGTAGCAGTGGGTAAAAGGAGGAAACCGCACTAGTAAACCTCGACAACCGTACATAGCTTTCTCTGAGCTTTAAATACCTGCTCTTTAGAGGTGACGTGAACATTTTTCAATTTTGAAAGTTTAATACCTATGAAGTTCTATATGTACTTTCCATCAAACTCAATTCTCCAAAGTTAATACCAAAAGCTCATTAGGCAAAGTTGTTAATTTATCCGTTAAAAAAAGAAAGAAAGACGCTGATGAAATTGCCGAGGATACGGAAACATGTACACGAGTGTGCATGTTCGGATATATAGTTGAAGTTCGATCCGCAGCACTTTGAGAGCCATGCGAGTAGTTTCGTATCTGACAGAGGCGAGAGGCTGAGCGAGGCGTGTTCGGGGTTTGAACGCGCGGCAGCAGCGAACTATATTAGGAATTTATATGCTAATTCCTTGGGAACGAATTGCCGAAGAGACTGGTAAGGGTCTCTCTCTCTCTCTCTCTACTCTTCTGTATACTATATATGATATGTACATGTGTACGTGTGCGTGTGTATGTGTGTATCAAGTCAGTAAGCCAATAATGCCACTCACACGCGTGAAACGTCGCACTTATGCAGATAATACAGAGGGAGAGCGAGAGCGAGAGCGAGAGAGAGAGAGAGAGAGAGAGAGAGAGCGAGGAGTGTACGTCATTGAAATTCATAGCAAAAGTCAACTGATTGCTAAGTGAATTTATGAAGTGCCGAGTGCTCGTGTGCGCCATGCCAAAGTCGCGAGAATCAAATTTTACGGCAAACGCGACATATATATATATATATATATATATATATATATATATATATATATATATATATATATATATATATAAAGTATATTTTACCTGAGTTAACGGCTGCCGGTCCTCGTTTATAACTCAAACGTTTATCGGCTGTATAAGTAAAAGCAATGCTTCCGCGTGCTCTCGCTGATTATTATCACACGTGCATTGCTGCATATATAACTTATACATTGCGCGCCCGAGGTGATTCTGCATTTTAGTGCTCGCGTATTCTTCATTGCGCGGGAACTAGTCGAGCAAAGGAATAATTGTATTCACGCGGACTATATGTTGAAGAATCTTTTGGAATAATTGCTAAAATCAAATCATATTGTCATATGGATGGATATAAGTTATTTAAGTTTACTGAATAGTTGACTATGTATATTTTATACATGACTCTAAAATTTTTTAAATATCCGAAACAAAAATTGAATAATTATCACTGGTTTGAGTTCACTGAATAATGATATCAATATTTATAAAGAAATCGATATCTATACGTTACAATTATTTTTATTGAAATATAAATAACAGTAAAGTAATATATGAAAAAAGAAAATAATCTTGCCAATAGAAGTAGTGTATGCTAAAGGCATTATTTAGTCGTTGCAGATAGCTAATTTCTAATACGAGTGAAAATATGAAAAGGAAATCAATCATATATTTTGTCAAATGCATATATAACACGAGTTATATATTAAATAAGCCAAATTTATCGATATGTACATGTTTATAATAAACATTCAACAGTTGCATTAGATTTGTAAATAATGTCACTGACTAAATTTATGTGAAAGACATTTAGTAATGTCACATAAAAATCATACCATTTATGTAATATTTTGAATGTGAAGATAACTAAATTAATAATACAAAGATACGGGGGGTGCTATAAAAAAATACCATATACTTCGGCATCCTTTCCTTGAATGTTCAAATTACGTACACACTGTCAATTTCACGAGTTATTATTCCACGGAATATAAAAAGATTCGTAGTACTCTGATTCATCCGCTTTCTATTTTTATTCCATTTTTGTCTGTGGAAGTATGTTGGATTCACGTGAACATTATGTAGCCAGACACTCAATTTAAAAAAACATGATTTTTCATAATTTGTCATGATTTTTCAAAGTTCAATCAAAAACGAAAAAATACAACGCTAATCTAAGTTTCAATTCAAATTTCAATCAAAATATGTCGAAAACTATATTTTAATTTATTAATTTTGACACTCGTAAAGAATTGAAACTACGCAAATATTAATGAAAAGTAATATCCCCGTATACAAAATTTCATATTTTGTGTCCTGCCTGCAGTACTTGAAACTCTATATAGAACAAAGGAACACACAATAACAAGTCACATTTCAAACTAAAAATCAACTTCACATTTCAAATTAACAATAACAAAATATATGGTTTTTTACATACTTGTTGACGAGAACGCGGATTTCAGCTTGAATGAACGTTATCGCTATTTTATTTTTTTTCAAAAAACCATGAAAAATTACGTTATCTTTTTTCGACAATTTCTAGAACTTCTATGAGAAAAAAAAGGTATTACAAGTATTTTTAATCATTGACCAAAGATTTTTTTTGATTCTATACGTCAAATTACAATATAAAAACGTGCACTTATTTTGACTATATTCTCAAATGTATCGAATTATGGTACTTTTTTGTGAAATTCTTATATGAAATTTTTTCTTTTCTTTATGAATGGGAATTTGTACAAAGATAAATTATGTGTTTTAGCAGAATAATGAAGCCGTTTTTCGTTTTTTTTCGCGACAATCTCTTGTCTTTTATTTCTCCGAGTACAAAACTATGGACTAAATGGATGTCTTGCCGTTTGGGCTTTGTTAGGGGTTAAATCATACATTGATGATCGCAATTAATTACAACTCCCTAAATGATTAATAATCGCTGTTGTTCTAGAACAATATTGTTTGGTCACTAGAAACTAATATAGTAAAATTGGTGCGAAAAGTCTAGATAAGTTTTATATAGTACGATTCAATGAATAATTTCTGCCGTAATGAATATTCGTACGTTATTATATCTCAATCATTTAACGACAAAGATACAATCTAATACAATTGAGAGAAATAATAAAAAAATATTAGAATTCGATAGGCCAGTATTGAATTCATACAACTAACAATATTACGGTAGGTGGAAAGTAACATTGGTCCGGGCTAATTCAATTGGTGCCGAAATAATTTACGGTTATCCTATTAACAAGAGAGAGAGAGAGAGAGAGAGAGAGAGAGAGAGAGAGAGAGAGAGAGAGAGAGAGAGAGAGAGCAAGAGCACACGCGTCCTTCGTTAATTTTCGGCAAAACGCTTTAACCTCGTTATATGCGGGAAAATAGAGAGAGCGAATATCCGAGCTTATATTGCTTCTCCTTATCCAGTTGGGCAGTTAAAAAATCTTTTCTCTCTTTTTTTTCGCGGATTTTTAGTAAAAGCTGAGGTATAACTGTACCTAACGATGAACCATTTACCATGCGCGCGCGTTTTACGCTCGATTAAGACCTGCGTTTATATTCTCTTCGCGTTCGTTCCAGGTAGAGTAAACACTCATAATTTTCTACGTTCGCCTGTTTCCTAAAAATTTGCTTGATTTATCGCCTAGCAAATGAAAAATTTTTTCTACGTCAGTCCGCTCGCTTAATGGACTAATTTCGCGTATATGTCGACTCACCCGTTAATTTTGTTATTCAATATGCTTTGAATAATTATTTGCATCCTGAATATGTGAATTATCGATTTAATATTTGAAATGTTTAAAAATGCTTTTGAGAAAAAAATTATTTAAAAAGTGTAAAAGCATTATTTGAACTGATTAAATATTTAGTATAAGTAAAGTCATAAAATCAATGGTTGACTGATTGATATGTTGGCATATATTCAATTTTTTTATTTGAAAAATGTTTTATGAAAAAATTTTTGATGTAACAAAACATTCATGAAGACTGTAAAGTACATAACAATCATTAGGAATAGAATTGGTATTATATTATTGTCACGCTTGATATATCAACAATATTTTTTGTTTTATAAGGGACATTTATTTTTCAAAATCATTATTTTATGCTATAAAATGTAGTCGAAATTTTGTGATCTCGCGTCCCCGCATAGAGTAGCAGTCGTGTAGTAAACGCTGCGATCGCAAATCTCCTCTTGGCATACATTACCCGTCACGTTAATATTCGTGCAGAAGTAACTAGTCAACTTGCATACCCGAGTTTAATAAAGCTCGGAAGAAACAAAGCTAAAAAGGGCAAGTGCACTCTCTCGCGCTCGTCCATTTCGCTACATTGTCCGTCGTTGTGTACGCAAGTGTTTAGCTTGGCGCTGGCCTTAATGCCTCCCTGTCGCGCGTCTCGCCTCAAAAATGTCGGCCCGAGGGTGAAAAAAATCTTAATTAATTAAATATAATTTCCTTCTGACTTGATTACCTCGCTCGTTCAGCGGAGCAACGCGAGACTATCATAATATCCTTAAAGTATGTCACTGGAGGAAAGCCGCTGTTAGCTGGGTAGCTCAACTCTTGGTGCTACTAGAAAAAGAGTTTTACTTGCTAGCTTTTGATGCGATGCTGAGAGCAAGACTTTTAGATATCTAACGTGACCTTACCTCCTTTTTTTGTATTGTCATTTCTTTGCTCGAGAAATAAAGACTATGAAAAATGGGCCAGCAACGACAATCTCGCTTACACTCGTCCTCTTGAATACGTGCTCATACCGTCCGAAAAAATATATATATATATATGTATTTACAGTCACAGTGATACACGTACACATGGAAAGAAGAATGGCGAGAATTTCGAGTTTGTGTTATTGTTGGAACAGTAACAGTAAAAAAAATTATGTTGAATACAATTTATTCGTATAAGGCTATATAAAATTTGTATTTATTAAAATTCTTACTGACGAAATTTCGAACTTTTATAAAATTTAAACCTGAGCGGTAAAGGACGTCATCACGGTTTGGTAACCAATCATCATTTTTAGAAAAAATCTTTAGCGGTTTAAAATTTAAACCCAACGTATGTACAATACAAAGTAGTTCAACTCCGAAAGATTTTTAGCTGTTTATATACTTAAATATAGATAACAAAGGTCAGAAATTTATCCAAACAGTATAAGAATTGAATTAAAGTATATTTATTGTATATTTGTTGATGTAAATACATCGTTTGATGCTGAAAGTGATATATAACCTTTATTACTTTATTATTTTTTGCTTGTATATTCATTAAATAAATAGTAGTTTATCCAGTTCAACTTTATTAATTATCATTTAGCTTTACAAATTTATCATTATAAATGTAATATCCCAAAAGCAATTGTCAGAAAAACCTAACCTACACGCAATAATATATTTTGACATTTTTCAGTTAATATCTTTAAATTTGTACTGTGACATTTTCCAAATATTATGTAACTAATCTTTAAAATGCTTTATATTTATTATAACCTTTAGATGGAACCAATGGCTTTGGGATCACCAGTAGGTAGTCCAGCACAGTCCCCTAATAGTCCTGGAGTCAACTCTGCTTACCTACCTGGATTCTTACTTGGAGATTCTCACCAGGTAAATTTATGTTAATATGTATTACTTTGAAAAGCACAGTTTTTCAAAGAATATAATAAGATCTGAAATGTAAGTAATGTAAAATTGAAAAGTAAGTAATACAAAATTTTTATTAATTTACACAGCAACCAAGAATAAGTGTCATGAGTCCAGAATCATCTCGCTTCACCCATCCTGGACACCATGGAAGTTCAAGTTCACCAGTATCAAGTTATGCTACTCCTGAATATAGATTAAATCGACAGAAAGCAATGTTTGGTGGAAACACCAATGCAAATGGGCCACACATAGGTAATGAAAATCATGTTGGTGGCCCACCAACTAAATCATTATATGAAAGCTTGGACACAAGACAGTCATTGAATACTTCACATAACATTTCTACAAACAATCAAAGCATAAATCAGTCTAGATTACTGAGTACAGGATTTGGTGAGTTTCTTTAAAATATTATGGTTTAAATATAAATTTGTATTTTTCTTTCATTAGATCAAATTTGTCCTATAATGTAATATTAATTTAATATGTATTTCTTTTAGCAAACAATACCTACAATTCTCTATTTTGTGATACGCCATTGAATACTACACAAAATGAATCAACACAAGGGCTTTTGCAATGGATAACAGTATTTGGATTTCCTATGTCTGCTTTAAACACTGTTTTATCACATATCTCTAGTAGGGTAAGAATTGTTGATAGACATTCTGCACCTCACTCACAGAGTAATTGGATTCATTTAAAATGTTTATCCGAACAAGAAGCTCAACGAGCTCTGGCTTGTAATGGCAATATTGTATCTGGCTCTATTATGATTGGTGTCATCCCTTGCACTGATGAAGGTGTAATACTAGGTGGAGACAAAGAAAATCGCACAAAAATGAATGAAAGCATGAGATTATTTTCTACACCTGTAAAACAATCTGGTTTAAATTCTACCAAAACTCCAATCAGATTGCAAAATGTTAGACCATTAGTTTCAAATTACAATCAGCACTTGAGCTCACAAGCTGTTCAATCTCCAGAAAATGTGCCACATAAATCTACTGGTATAGTCACAAAAGCAATGGAATATGTTTTTGGATGGTGATAATATTTATTAAGAATTTTCTTTTTGACAAATGCTCAATGAGTAAATAGTGTTATTTCAAATAATTAATGGTGCATTACCCTATTTAGCAATATCTTCCAGATTTCTAATATGTTTAACAGCAAATATGTAAATATAATTGTGTTAACATTTAAGTTGATAATGAAAAATCATACTGTAATTTCTTTTAATTATTTTGGAATAGTAGTTATCTTTAGTCCTTTGTGACGGAAAAATAATTTTTTTAAGATTTTGAGTCGAGATTCAACTAAAGTTGATACTCTGCAAATTGTAAAACTCAATTCGAATAACTTTCATAGCTATTTTTAATTGCAAATCAAAATTTTAAATCAACTGTCTACCATAAATTTGCATGAAATTTCGTTAAAATGATTTGTCTTTATTCTAAATTTGTAAAACATCCAATCGACTATTTTAAATATTCTAGCTAAATGTTGTTAATGAATAAGATTCATGTCATCTTGAGTTAAGTAACAGAACTACAATACTGTATGGAAATAAAGTAATTATTTTTATTTTCATTAAAAAAGATTTACATATTTAATATTGCAAATAAACCTAAAACTATCTCAATGTAAATTCATTCTGTAAGCAAATAAAATTGCGCGACATTACAGAATTCTTTTAATAAAAGCAATATTTTATTCACAACTTTTAAGTAAAAACTAGTCTAGTTATCTTTGCAAAATTTCATTATTTCGGGCTTTCAATCGTAGCATTACCCAAATCAGTCATCTTTGGATACTTTACTTTCTTCTTATCCAATTCATCCTGGGCCCAAAGGATCATTTTTAATAAATTATTTAGCCGTGGGCTAGTGGACTCTTGATGTTCCATCTTCAATATTGCAGCGTTTAATTCACTCGCAATCTAGAATTTTTATTTTGTAAATAAAATTTGTAGACTAATATAGATTAAAAGATTTTAAAATAATTGACTTCCGTTCAAATATACCTTTTGTCGATGAGTGGGGTGCAATAAGTCACTGAAAGGGCTTTTGTGTGGCTCGTCAAATGCAAGTAATGCTAATGTACGTTCTAGTTCACTTAAAATATTTTGATCTGACTCACCAGCTTCACTCAATTGTTCTTGCGCAAAATGTATCGCTTCTTCTATACGACCTGTACGAATGAGTTCAATCAAGTGGAGTTGTTGAAGATGAAAGTGTAAATATCTATCATTGTCTAGTAATTCTGGGTGTAACTGATTGACCAAAGTTTTTGCTTCTTCTATACGTCCATTCTGGATGGCATCTCGAATACGAATCCGATCATCTAGAGAATTTAATTCTACAGTTGGTCCTACACCTGATTCTTGTTGAAACTTTTCAGCAGCTTCTTTAAAGCCCTCTAAAAATAGATATCAACATTAATTCATACTATCTGTTAAATATTTATATTTCAACAAGACAATATGTTACATTCAATTATGCTAAATTACTCTTACTCCTGTGATTAGAACATACCTGTGACTAAATAGTTCATAATGAGACTATTCATTTGCACCCGTTGAATATGTGAACCTTCTTCCAGTTTTGCCATCCATTCTTCTTTGGAAATACTCTCGCTCTTATCGTTGAAACTCATTTTTCATGAAATAGCTTGAAATAAAACATATTGTTTAAACATCATACATGTATTATACTATGATATAATATTACACAATGGAGTGTAGTGAAACAGATAGATTGTTAAGCATGACAAAGGAAATTGAAAAATTTGATAGACGATTTTCATACCATATCCATAAATAGGCACAAAAAATTGAAAAGAATATTAACAACACAAACAATACATTGGATAATTTTTTTTAATTCAATCATACTATAAGGATAAATGCATACCATTTGATTTTAGGACGAAATGCATATAAAAATGCACGATTGCAGTGAATAACTCAGCTGTTTCAATCCTAATACATACAAACACGTCGACTTTAAATTCTAATTCTAATCTAACTGTATGTAAAAAACCATCGATAAATCTACGTAAATAAATTAAAATTCACTATCTTAGAAGTTATTTACAAAATTATTAAGCAATAATGAGGTAAACAATGAGGATCTATAACTTTGACACTCTATCACAAACACCTCTGAAATGCACAGCAAAAAAACGCATCGAGAAAATACTACTCTCGTTTCTTAAAGCTTGAAGTATAGCGTCTAAATCGAGAGGTAGAGAGGGAGTAAGTATAATCGTAATCGAGATGAATAAAACGTTACAAAATGTGAAAATATTTACCAATCTCAAGTATCCAGTGTACACTATGCATTATATGTTTGCATAGTGACAACAAATTTTGTATAAAAAAATATTACATTTTAATAATCAATATTTTTAATTTATTAAACAATTCCTAAAAATAACAACAAAATATCTAATATTACTTGTCTCCATATTAAAATTTAAAAACATTGCTTAAATGATTTCTTAAATTTTTTTAAACTTTATTAATTAATAACATTAATTATTTTTAGAAAATAACGCGTGTTTCTTATTGACCACCATTCGCGTCACATAACCGCAATGATATGAATAAACCTTGTAAGAGTAGTTTTATAATAATATTAATTGATAATTTTAATAATTTCTAGATCATCTCCGATACAACTGACTCTTTAGTCAGTTGTGTCGGAATATGAGTATCAGCAACTACAAAAAATATTCCGTGTTGCTACAGTAAGGGGTTTTCTACATATCCGGATCAGACATTGGACAACAGGTATATCGGATGTGTACCAAAATTAACAAGGTAAAAAATTAATTGTTGGGTGCATTCATGATGTCACAGAATCCAAGTAATATATGATAAAAAATATAGATTATTATTATTTTAAAATTATTAGTACAATAATATATCATTTGAGTATTTGACTATCTTTTTTCACCATGGTTTTAGAAAAAAAGTCCCTAAGTCTGCGCCTTTGAAATTCATAGATTAATTATAGTCTTGAGAGCTTCTCGAACTTCTGACCTTTTAAGCTATCCTATCTGTGTGTGTGAGAGAGAGAAAACGATCTTGTGCTGCTTTTATAAATTTTAGTTCGGGAACAATACTTAATTTATATATTTCTTTTTCGTTAGATAAATATGGATTTTTAAATATAATTGGAAAACGTTATTCAGAATATCAGTTAATTTAATTGTGAACTGACTTATTACCTTAAAAACTATCATTGAGCTGAGTTAGGTTACTACTAAATTATTACTTTTTTTCTTTACAAGAGTGATGTGTAATATTAATAAAAAAATTGGAGGCCTCTTTTGAAAACAGGAGGGTGAAGAAGGTAACTCCATAGTTCATAGAAAAATAACGGCTTATTATAGTAGAGTATTCTTACATAATAAACAATACATATAATAATTAATTTTGCTTAATTATTAGACAGATATCTTAATTATTTTTTATATTAATTTTAATTAATTTTTTTACTACTATTTAGTAATTTGAATTTCAATTTGAAAGAAGTTTATATCTATAGTGGTTAAGATTATTTTACCGTTACAATAAATATTATAATAATTATGTTTCATAATAATACAATAATTATTAGTGTAAAGTAAATTTATCTAATTATTAAAAAAATAACTAATGTGTTTCATGACTATGATTCATGATCTCTACACTACTGATATATCTATATCTATGAACAAACCTTACATCATTTGACTGCCAACTATCGTTACTGATCCGTACCAGTTCAATCGTAGTAACGAACAGTAAATATGGCAGAAGCATTGAGTTTACTGCGGCATTATAACATTCATAAAAAAGAAATAATTGAAAGTGATGATCAAATTTTATTTGATGAATGTCGCAGGCCCAAAAACGTTGAAACTAGCTACTTAATATATGGGTAAGTTTTAAATAAAAATTAGTATCTAATATATTTTGCATTAGTGTTGGGTAAATCCAAATTCTTGCTATTACAACATATTTTGCTAAATAGATACTGCAACTACAAATGATATTTAATACACTATACAATACTAATTACTCTATTAACAGTTTAGTACTATAGTATCGTGTTGCGATTGTAATAGCGCATTAAATATTATACTGTAGTTTCATTATTGCGACTGCCCTTTACTGCAAGGCATCTATATAAATCTTATAAATTAAAGTAATGGCATTACTGTAGTTGTGCTACATTTTAAAGACGTTTATAGAGCAAACAATATTGCTTCTGTTTAACACTATTTTACATATAATTATCTCATTATACCTTTGAACATCTGGAGTTAAATTATTCTTTTTCACTTTTCTTTCTCCGACTGAATATTTACTAGGCTTTACAAATATATCGGTATACAATTCTGACTCCAACCTTCACATATTTTTGTGCTTTACAAATATTTGAAGTTTCCGACGTTTCAGACGATTCATGCTTCCAAATTTTTATACTAAACTTATATAAATTCGTATAAAATCTTCAAGTAATTCCAACTTTTGGCATTTCAAAATCAAGAAATTTTACTAAATATCGCCAAGTAAAATGAAAGTTACGACCGTTATTGAAAATACTTAAAAATATTTGGACAGCTCAGAAACCACAAAAACTAGCTTCAGCTCTAGAGCTCGAGATAAACTTGAGCGCTTCTAAACTTCCAATTGCTAGGTCGATTGAGATTTATTTTAAGTTTTTAAATATAAAATTGTTATTACCAAATATGTACAAAAGATATTTCATCAATAAAAAAATACTTATTAGAATTTTTTTTATATTTTCATATTTGATAATTTCGTCCTTCAAAATGTAGTGCGATATATGAAATTCTTAATTTTATTAGACAAATGTTTAAGTTTTTTAAATTATTCGAATAAATCGTCTATTTACATTTTATTTATTAAAAATATCTTTATTAATGTATAGGTCTGGTAAAAATGGAACACCGAAACAATATTATACTCTTGAGTGTTTACTCTTCTTTGTTAAAAATATGCAGCTTCCACATCCGAAGTATGTGACACTAGCAGCCGCAGCAAATATTCCAGTGGTACGGAGACCTGATAGAAAAGATTTAGTGGCTTACTTGTCAGGTGAAATTGATACATCACCTTCTATAGATAAGTTAGCACCCACTGAAGTTGAAAGAGCAGTCCACCATATGAGAAATCTCACAGTGCATAAATAAAATTTGTAAAACATCCAAGTGAAGTATTATTTTAGATGTCTGAATATTAAATAAATATTATTAACAAGAATAGCATAAATGAAATGTTTTATTTGTCGTGTACAGCTCGTTTTATAATCCCAATAAATCTATTTTATGATTATAATATATTTTTCGAGTGGTTAGATAATCGGCAAATCCTCATGGACTAAGTATGATGGTATGTAGTTCACCGAGGTTTAGGCAAAGATTCCTTACGTTTAGATCTGTTAAGTCAGCTGGTTCTCGATGATCGGGGGTATGAAGACAGTCTAAACTTCACCTAATCTATATTTACGCGATCTCAAATTATCCAATTGCAAATACCCTCCTGCTATACAGTTTTCATGCTTCCGGTCAATGAGAACCAGTTGACCGTTTAAACAGGTCTGAACTATAATTTGCAAGGATCCAGCGGTAATATGCACACACTTATTCTTTTCTTATGTATTCAGTTTTTTTTAAATTAGCTTGAAGAAGAGATAAATAGGGTAGTTTATTACGTAAACCATTTATTTAAGTTTACGTAATAAATCTTATTTATCTCTGTAGTTATGACTCTCAAATTCTAACCTATTTTGGTCGAGAAAGAGAAAATTATCCCCACCCTTTTACACTCTCTTTCCCCTGTGAAGGCCGTAGTTTTTCCTCTCTTTAGGCTTAAATACTTCCATTCTTTAAATATAAACATATTGGACAACTTGAACAGACGTGCTAATGTTGTCCACTAGGAACACGAGTTTGGCATTCCCCCTCCCTAATCATCTCGTCTGCATAATTAGTCAGTAATAATTTAAGGACAGTGCACGACGCGGCCGCGTCAGTCCAGTGTTTGCTCGTGGTAGTGACTAGTCAACATGGCGGACCCGTTGAGTTTACTTCGTCTTTACAATGTTAATAAAAGAGAAATTATTGAACGTGATAAGCAAATTCAATTTGGTGAATTTTCCTGGCCAAAAAATGTTAAAACAAATTATTTGACCTATGGGTAAGTTTTTAGTATGATAAAGTATTTTTCACAATTTTTTCAGGTGAACAGTCTGCCACCAAACTTACTAATTGTTTTTTTTCAATATTTTTCGAAAGTCTGCATAGTAATTAATTATCGAACTTTTTACAGTAGAAAGTAAATCTTATATATTTTCTTATTAAGAAATGCTTTCAGTAAATATTGCTATTGTGTAATTTTAATATGTACACACATTTTTTCCTTTATATTGACATGTTAACTTAGTTTATTGTAATATTTTCTTTGTTTTTGATTTATTCTGATCTTAAAAGTCAAATTTTATTTCATCATTGATTCAAGTGAATGTCTTTCTGAAGTAATTTATTTATTTCAACTTGTTCACTAGGTCTGGCAAAGATGGAGCACCAAAAGAGTATTACACTCTTGAGTGTTTACTTTTTTTACTCAAACATGTACAGCTTACACATCCAGTTTATGTACGACAAGCAGCTGCAGAAAATATTCCAGTAGTACGACGACCCGATAGAAAAGATTTATTAGCTTACTTGAATGGTGAAACAGCTACATCAACTGCAATAGATAAATCAGCACCTCTTGAAATTCCTACACAAGTCAAAAGAACAGCTGAAGATGGTTTGGAAAGCAGTTTGGTCAAAAAGCCTCGGTTTGAAGAAATGCATGTCCAAAAAGTCAAAGAACAACTCGCTGCCAGATTAGATGCTCCAAAAGAATCCAATGTTTCAGTTGAAAATATTAAGTCATTATCTGAAGCTATGTCTGTTGAAAAAATTGCAGCAATCAAAGCTAAACGTTTAGCTAAAAAACGTACAACAATTAAAGAAAATGACGATATTGGAATGGGAAGTGATCTTAAGGTTATTTTGGATATGGATGTTGATGACACAAAAGATATTGTCTCTAGAGAAAGGCAGTGGCGAACAAGAACAACTATTCTACAGAGCAGTGGAAAGGTAAGGAAAATAAATTTTAATAAATATATACATTATAATTGATTTTTAAAATATAACTATGACATCATTCAAATATTTATAATTTCAGGTATTTGCCAAAAATCTTTTTGCTATATTATTAAGTATTAAGGCTAGAGAAGAAGGTAGGCAAAAAGGACCCATGGTCCCGACACCAATGGTTACACCTCGCTCCACTCCAATGAGACCGTTACCTCAACCTGCAGTATACAATCGTTACGATCAGGAACGTTTTATTAGGCAAAAAGAAGAAACTGAAGGGTTCAAAATCGATACTATGGGAACATATCACGGAATGACATTAAAATCAGTGACGGAGGGAACAAATCCAGCTATACGAAAACCACCACAACCAGCTCGTACGTAATAAGAATTGCAGATAATTCTGCTCAATTGTCTTTCTTCAATAAAATATATACAAAAACTTGTTATTTTAGCTGGAAATCCTACTGCAACACCAACATCTGGATTATTACCGACTTCTGCCGCGAAACTTACTCCACAACAAGCGGCTCAAAACAAACGACCAAGCAGAACGCCTATTATCATTATTCCCAGCGCTAACTCATCTCTTATTACAATGTACAACGCGAAAGAAATTTTACAAGATTTGAGGTACGTGTCAAACGAAGAAAAGAAAAGACAAGCTACTAAGCGCGAAAATGAGATATTGTTACAAAGGCGAAAGGAAGGTGGTCTGACTGTACCGTATCGCGTTATCGATAATCCACAAAAGCTAACAAATGCTGATTGGGAAAGAGTTGTCGCAGTGTTTGTTATGGGGCCACAATGGCAGTTCAAAGGCTGGCCTTTTGATGAGAATCCTGTCGAAATATTTTCAAAAGGTAAACATTTATTTTTACGTTTACTTAAATTATTTTTAAATTATTTATAAAGTTGAGGTTTTTTCTTTTTCTTTTTTTAGTTTGTGCATTTCACGTAAAATATGATGAAATGTGTCTGGATGCAAATGTGGCGCGATGGGCGGTCACGGTAATTGAACTCAGTAAAACAAAACGACACTTAGATCGAGCTGCTATTATGAGGTTCTGGGAAGTACTTGACAAGTAAGTATTTTTATTTCGTAATTTTATAAAAATAAAGTTAATTTGAACAGACATTTATTTATATATATATTTCAGATATCTCATAAAAAATAAAGCACACTTGCGATTCTAGTTTGAATTATTTCTTTTATTTGTTTGAGTAATTTAATTGAATTACTTGATTGATGGATATCAAGCATACCTTTGCGTACAAGACACAAGACTTGAGGATGAATATTTTGAACTCCAGAAATCTCTTTTAGCAATGGTTTTTCACGACAAATTAAAAGTTGGTTAAATTAAAATTTACTTTTATTAAAATGTATACGTTTTGTATGAAAAATTAGGAAAAAGAAAATGCTTTTTTCTCACTTAAAATTTTGGTGGTATTCAAACAAGAATTACTTATCTAGTTAAATATAAAGTTATGTATTTGTAAACTGCTACATTTATAAATGAGGATGTACATATTGATAAACATTATTATTAATACGATTGTATAATTTATTTTACCTTACACACGATCGGATTTGGTAGAATATAGTTATTCAAATTGTAATATAATTGTAATATACATTGCAATATTCACCTTTATGATTAATATAAATAAAAAAACATACCTAGTTTTTTTATTTATAGTTTATTTTAAGTTTTTAAAAATACTTAGTTCTAGTTCAATTACCGTAGTTATTGTTGCTCATGCTTCTACGGTATGCTACAATTCACTTTACGGGCAAAACCTCTGTAAATAACCAAATTATGTTACCACTACCATCACTGGATTTACAGCTCAAAGTGAACCATTAGAATTATATCCTTGCGGTGTTGTAATTAGTACGTAAACATTTTCAGAGGTGCCCACTCCAAAAATCGAATCCTGCATTGCTAAACAACCACGAGTTAATTATTAACTTTATTATTATTATTACTATTTAGTTATTTTTTTTTAAGATTGAAAAACCACTAATAAAGTAATTATTATACATATATTTACAAAAATAACAATAAAATCATTCTAGAAATTAGGAAGTTCTACAATTGAAAATATACACTTGATGTAATTAAAAAATCAAAACAAAGAATCAATTTTTCACTAATATCTTGCGATTTTTGCATCTGGACCATCTCCACTAGAAGGTTTCCTCTTATTCATAATATTTTGTATTTTTTGCCATTCTCTATCTAGCTCTGCTTTTTCATTTTTCTCTTTATTAAATTTCTTTGTTCTTCGTCCATCAGCCATTTTGACACCATATTGAAATGCTGCTTTTGGCAAAGCTTCTTTTTTATTCATATAATCAGCATATTCCTCTTGCGTATCAAAATCCCAACGACCAATTGGTCCTTTCTTATTTCCTAAATCCATTTTAGTGTAGTCCACTTCATCATCAGAATCATCTATAGCATCCTGCATTTCATCCAAACCTGGATAACATTCAGCATATCCTTCTGGTTCAGCAGCTAATTTGTCTAACAAACCGCCCTTTTTCTGAGTAGCTTCTGAAACTGCAGCAAGTTTTGTAATTGTTGCTACAACAAAAATTTTATCAAATTATTGATTACTCATAAGAAGATATATTTATAATTTATAAATTAAGTACTAAAAGTTACCTGTAACTGATGCCACTGAAGGATTTGGTAATTGTGGAGCATTGTCTTTTTCTGTATATTCTTCTGCAGGTTTATCAAAGTATGATTCTTTCTTTTTACTTGACTTTGAGTGACTTGACTCTATTTTTGAGATTGATGGCACATAATCACCAATATCACCATATATACTGTCATCTTGTACAGTTTTTTGAGGTGCCAGTTCCATATCATTAAAATCTTCAGGTCTTCCTCTTCCATCTTTATTCTTCTTTCCTTTTTTCCCATGCCTACTTCCTTGTCTCAAATATGACAAAATTTGAGCTAATTTATTAATCACAATATCATTTGTTGTCAGAGTTGGAGTATTATCAATAGTTGGAACATCAGCTTTACTTCTAATCAATGTTGTTGGTATATCACCCTCCGTATCATCATCTAAATCAATAACATATGCCATTCTCCCAGGTGTAAAAAGTTCGTTGTGTTCAACATTTTTAGATTTCATAATTGATACTATTCTGTGAATATTGCGAGCAGTTTTGGTTTTGAACATAGTTTCTTCATCTTTTTTCTCAACTTTCTTTTCCTCTTTTACTTTTTCTTTTGGTTTGATAAGTTTTTCCATTTCTTGTTCTTGCTCATACTCTTTTGCTTCAATTTCACTCCTCACCTAAAATCAAAATAAATAAACTATCACTACAGTTCCATTCGGTAGTCAATTTTAAAACTTAAAATTACCTTTTGTAGCAATGCATAATCAAGACCTTTCACCAAGTGAGTGTGCTCCATGTCTCCACCTAAGAACTTGGATTGTTGAATCATTTGCCTTCTTCGTTCAGCAGCATCCAAGCCAGATTTTAAATCTGGAGCAACAGCTCGATAAGCACTGGCATTTGTTATTGGATCTTCAACCGAGTCTTGATTAACACCATCTCTTCTTTCTCGTGCACGATCTCTGTATTTTTCTGCCAGTTCTGCCATTTTGTCATCTTCTTGTTTTTTGAGCTTGGCATAATAGCTTTTCTTTTTCCTTCGCAACTCAGCTCTGTTAGAATCATTGGTGACAGGAGTTTGTGCTGTTTTTGCACTAGCATCTCGAAGAGTTCCAGGTGCAGTTGCCGGTGTAGCTGCTGGTACTGATGCTCTTGGTGTCATAAGCAATTTTCTAAAGTCATCATTTGTCATGCGAGTTGAGGCACTAATATCTTCTTCAGGCATTGTGATCGTTTATCTGAAAGAATATACAATTGACTATGAAAACATAATTTTTTCTTTTTGATCAATTTTCTTGTCGATTAAATTGAAATTTTAATTCTCGGTAATTAATATAAAAATTTGAAAATTTTTAAATAATAAATAGAGATTATATATCATCATATATACAGGAGTAATAAAATAATAAAAACCTTTCTCTTCTTCCTTCAACAATTAAAATTAAAATATAAATAAATAGATTCCGTGCCGTGTGTATGTTGATGTCTTAAAGTTCAATGAATTGAAGTTGTATGCAGTTTAAAAAGCATGTGTGCGCTGCGTGCTGGCGCAAATAAAAAATCACTAACAAAGATATGGCACTACAAAGTCATTGAGACCCCGTCCCATAGCTACGTATGAATGCGGACGGATACGGACGAGAATCGCAACTCTAGTAACATCACTAAAAATACCTAGTTCGATTATTCAGTACCAACACTACCGGTAGTGAGCAAAAGTAACTGTTGTTTAAAACTGTAGCGCCGAACGTACCACATTTAATGTTCAAATGTCAGGTCTACAATTTACTTTTCAAATTCTCATGAATATTGCTTATTGATGAGTATGCTAATGTAAAAAAAGCTTTTGGGATGATTAATACATATCATTTATATATATTTGCTTCTTCTTCTCATATATTCAAGTACTTCCATAAAATTAAGGCCTAATTCCACTAATTGTAGTTGAAAGTCTATCAATTCTCTATCATTTGCCATCTTATAGACTGCAATAATGTATAAGGTTAGATAGGCGTTACATTAAATGTGGTACGTTCGGCGCTACAGTTTTAAACAACAGTTACTTTTGCTCACTACCGGTAGTGTTGGTACTAAATAATCGAACTAGATATTTTTAGTGATGTTACTAGAGTTGCGATTCGCGTCCGTATCCGTCCGCATTCATACGTAGCTATGGGACCGGGGCCTGAATATCGGAAATGTTCTTTTAGAATTAAACATATTCCAAAATTTTTAAATAAATGATAAAGGCATAAGCATTTATCGATAATCAAAAAGTACACAATAATCAATGTAAGAGTTGTAAAGAAACTAATTTCAAAATGCCACCTTAATTCATAATAATTTGTGTCACAAATCAGTGAATAAGAAATGCACGTTCAATGCAAGAAATTTATTGAAAAATGTATGTACAACGCTGCAATTTGTCAAAAAGATACAGAAAAGTTTTAAGGGCTGTGTGTAGTGATACAAGGTTTATTCAATTCCTTAGCAGCGCCCGTTTCAACGTTAGCAATATAATATGGGAAACTGTCGTATCCGTGGCAGTTAGCTCCATATTCGCCAGCTTTATTTAGTGCAATTACAGCACCACTAAATTTAGGATAGTACTTTGCTATTCTCCTTATTGCCGTTTCAGTTGCCGCATTTGGTGATGCACCCAGTCTCATCAATTCCACCGATAAATAGCTAAAATCAATAAAACTTATTTTGAGCAATCTGTAATATTTTTTAATTATTTTTTACATTACAAAGCATCAAAAATAATTAAAATCTAATAATCTACGACTTTGGATTATCAAGATCTTTTAGAATTATCTTATCACTCTGATTATGATCATTGTAGCGAATAATCGTTTTCTTAAATTATTATAGCTTTCTGTTAAAAAAAATCAATGTAAATTTGAATTGTTCTCGAAGAATTCTTATATATTGACATTTTATAAAGATATTTTCTATTTTAAAAACTAAGTTGTAATGAATTTGCATAGAAAATTAATTAATAAAAATAAATTTTAAGTACCTTGGCAAAAATCGCATAATAATATCGCCGTCACCAGTGGCAGCTGCAGCACCAACTTCACCATCGGCATAAGCACCAGCACCACTGACTGCTGAATCCCCAATTCTCCCTGGAATTTTAAACTTTTGTCCGTTAGTTGACACCCCAGCAGCAACGCGACCTTGGATATCAAGAGCTATAGCGCCAATAGTATCGTGATTATCTTCGTCAGTTGTTGGTGCATTAGCTTTTGGATCATCTAACTGTGCACCGAGGTGATATGGACCGCAGCTGCTAGAGGGATTTGGTTCAACGTTCTGTCGCAATAAAATTTCATGAATTTATTAAAGTGGAAATTAAAATATCTTACATATATATATAATAAGATGTATATGGATTTTTTCTATCGGCCATCGTAAACTTAATTCAGCAATTTTTACGTAAAAATACCTCCCAAAAATTAGGTTGACATTTATTTTCATTTTTCCACTTTTGCCACATATCACGCGACTTGTCTGTTTGCAAGCTCTCTTTCTTGAAGCCCATTTGAACAGCAAAGTCTGCCGCTAAACTTCCGCCAAGCAACGAGTGTCTTGTATTTTCCATAACTTTGCGAGCAACTGAGATTGCATCTTTCACATTGCGGATTCCGCCTACGGCACCAATGTCCATCGTCGTTCTGTAAAAAAGAATAAATTGTTCCAATTTTAAAATAAAAAAAAATATTCATATCGTATAAGGTATTATAATTATACCCGTCCATAATTAAAGCATCCAAGGTAGTTTCTCCATTTTCATCCGGATTGCCTCCGAAACCAACGGTCCCACGACATTGCATTTGTTCACATAATTTACAACTTTCTTCAACAGCATCTACAGCACTTCGTTTTTCCTTGGAAAGAGTTTCCCAAGCTAGGATGAAAATTTTTTGTTTAATTCAGAACTTAAGATAGCTAATAAACAATTACCTTTTTGCGTAGCATTGGGATAATTCCATGTAATTACAACAAGCGGACCTGCCTCAGCTCGGGTATTTTGTAAAAGTAAAGGTAAAATTAAACATGCTAATACAAGTCCACTTTTGAATAAGAAAATTTCCATCTTGAGAGCAGTGTAATCGTCTTGTAGTAGTATTGAATCACTGCTTTGAACAGTATATACTGACAATCGGTGCTCGTGATTTACTTTCTGGATTTATCTGTACTTACTAAAAGAACGATTAAGATATCTTAAGTATGCCACTCAAAGATTGATACTAATACGCAAAATGTTTCCATTAAAGGTGATATTATTACAAAGCTTTATAATTAATATAGATTGGTCATTTTTTAATTGAGTTGCAATATTGTTCGATTCAATAATTATAGTTAACGCGATGAACAATTTTATCTGCCCGATATAATTTATATGCATGCGATCGATTCGCACTAAAATATATAATTATGAATTCAGTAGCAATAGAAATATACTTGCAAATTAAGTTGAGTTTCGTAATTACAATAAATACTAAATTAAGAAATTATGGTTTCAAATCGTAACTGAGCAAATCTTTTGTTTTAGATTATATCATGACTGTTATAAATTATTTAGGGACAGTCTACATAAAGAGACGTCGGACAACAGATGTCGGACGTTTACCGAGATTATCAAATTAAAAAACAAATTGTTTGTTTAACATCTGAATCATAATCTGGGTGTGTCCGTGATTGTGCAAAATATGAGCGATGATAAAAAGTATAGATCTACTTCATTAAAATTACTACTACAGTAATAAATCGTTTTATTATCTATTTTCACCGTGGTAAACGTTTGATATGGCCAATGTTCAACGTCCGCGATGTCTCCTTATATAGAAAATCCCCTTGTCCGTTGTCGGTAGTTATAATATTTTACTAAAGTTTTATACAAGGATATTTATAATAATATTCTTGTACATAAGAGAATTAAAACAAATTGTTGTAAATTTTCAAATTCATTTCATATATTTAGAAATGGAACATACACATATAATAAAATTGTATCAATTGTCATAGAAAAATATGTTTCTCACTATATTTTGATAATTTAGTTATCATCATTTACAAATGAATAATAATATTAACGAGCGCATAAACATGTCCAACAATTGCTTAATTTTTTTCACAAGGTACATAAAAAATAGTTGGTTTTCCTAATTGTAAATTACTAGCGTAGAATGGGAAACCATCCATTCCATTGCAAGCAGCTGAAAATTCACCATTTTTATTTAATGCAATTACTGCCCCGAAAAATTTTGGATGATGTTTGGCAATACGTCTTATTGCAATTTCTGCTGCTTCAGCCGGCGATTTTCCCTGACGCATCAATTCGACTGCCAAAAAACTAAAATGACCAAATAAGTAATCAGCATTGATTGTGATGTAACGCATTATGCAATATAAGTGAATTTGTAAGCATAACATTGTCATATTTTAAAAATTGTTTTACAATGAATTTGACGTTATTAAAAGGAATTGCTATATAAACGCATTATCTTTACGTTATTAAAAGATATCACATATTATTATATTTTTTCCAAGGACACAAAAAACAACAAATGTAATGAATCGAAACTTCTTAATTTATTTAAAAAAAGACCTTACCTTAATAACTATATCTTTACCTTGGCAAAAAGCGTGTCATAACATCTCCATCTCCCGTAGCTGCAGCAGCACCAACTTCCTGATCTGCATAGGCACCAGCTCCTGCAATTGGAGAATCACCTACTCTTCCTGGAATTTTATATTTTAGTCCATTGGTAGATGTTCCAGCAGCAATATGACCTTTTGTATCAATAGCAATCATTCCAATAGTGTCATGATTATTTTCATTTACACGCGCGTATAATTCTTGAGTTCTTTTTAATGCTTTTTTTGGGTGATAAGGTCCACAGCTGGCTTTAGGATTTGGTATCACATTCTAAAAATTGAAAAATATATTATTTATTATTTGTAAATTAAGTAAAACTTAATTAAGAATGAATATAGTATTGAAATACCCTCCAGAAATTTGGTTGACAATTGTTATTTCTCCATTTTTTCCATATATTATAAGACTGTTCAGTTTGAAGAGTCTCATTATGAAATCCTACTTTTAGAGCAAATTCTGTAGCGTGACTTCCAACTATTAATGTATGAGCTGTATTTTCCAACACATGTCGAGCTACAGAAATAGCATTTTTGACATTTCTGAGATTTCCAATTGCACCAACATCCATTGTTGTACTAAATAAAAACAAAAGATTTTGAAATATTTTTATAAGTTATTTTAAAATAATAAAACATTAATACCCATCCATTATCATAGCATCTAATGCAGTTTCACCATTTTCATCTGGACTACCTCCATATCCAACTGTATTATCACATTGTGCATCTTCACAATAACTGCAGCCTTTTTCAATGGCATCGATAGCACTTCCTTTGTCATTGTATATTGTATTCCAAGCTATATAATAATTTTAAATTTTATTGAATATTTTAATGTTCAAATCGTATACAGATGTAGAAAACAATTATTCATTCTAATACGTTGAACGTATTTACCTATTCGGTTAGCATTTGGAAAATTCCATGTATTGATCACAAGCGGAATAAATTTATTTAAAGCTGTTATATTAGTTACACTTAGTAATATATTTAAACTTACTAAGTATAATAAAAGCTTTAATACAGCCATGGTTTGATATTGGTCACAATTGCTTATAATATAGTGCTATTAATACTCTATATCTTATTTTTAATTCAAAGATATAGTAACTTAATGATATCTGATGAACTTTTCAATCAATACAGTTTATTAAAGAACACTTCATCTTATAACTTTGATATGCTCTTACTTGCCAATATAATTATGAAAACTGTTGTTATGAAATATTAACATTTCCAAAGCCAAATATTTAGCAAATAATCGTCGAGTTGAAATACATCAGTGATGTAACAATGTATCTGTAAACAAATGTAAAAAAACAACAATAAATTTAAAAATAAAGCTGTAGAATAATTAAATTATTTGAAACATAACTAGATGTAACACCATTTTATGTGAAAAATATTATTAATTGTCAAAGTTTATTAAAAAGAATAGAGTGAATAATTATATTAATCTACAAATATTTATTGGTCAAACATGTTTAATAATCTGCAGTTTTCATATTTTTGTCTTGTTATATTTTTGTATTTTAAAAAAGTAAATGTAGTAACGAATAGCAACAGATAAAAATTGATTTATTAATTTTTTAATTAATAAATTACGGTAATGTCGGTAATGTGGGCGGATAAAAGTTTATTTTCACAATTACATTTATGACAATGGCTTGAATATAGCATGATTTTTTCGCCCTCTTTCTCTCTCTCTCAATCTAGAAATTTTATTTATTTAATGGTTGGCGTCTTGATTATTCCCTAGATTATTCAAATATCGATTAAATTCACGCAGTACAACAGTAGTTACAGTATAAGATACTCGCGCAAACTGTAATTAATATATATTGAAATACATACGATAAGTGATAGAAACTGGATTCTAGAAAGAAAATAAGTGCTTGTGGGTGTGGTATAAATTATTATACATAAAGTAACAAATTATGAATGAAACTTATTCCATTTTAGCCCCAAATAATACAAAGTGAACATATCATCACGTACATTCAAGTTGAACCGCAATTATTGGTAAGTTCTCTGATGAAAAAATTTAGTTAATTCATGATTGTTGAATGTATGTATAATTATTCTGTACAATATAAAGAATAATATAAAAATTTGCTTGCTTAGATGATGCAGTTTTGGAGTAAACAACAATTTTTTCATCTAAATTATTGATTCAAAACCTCAGCAAGGCACAAGTTTATTGCTTTAAAATAGTACAAAAAAAGGACTGCTCGCATGAGGCTTAATCTATTATTTTATCTTGAAAAGGAAGAAGTATCCTGATAGTATTTGTTTTCAAATATTTAAGCTACAGGAGAATCAAATTTGCCAAAATGTTTGGTTTCAAATTACCTGATTTCAAAAAAGATTATCATAGGTTAAAACGAGATCTCAGACAGATTCTGAGACCTTATTATTTAATTAATATCTTCCTTAGCGTGTCTTACATAATTGCTAAAAAATTACCTTATTTTTGTTATTTTGTATTTTCTGAAACTGACTGTGAAATTGATACAGTAAGAAAAGTTTTCTATTACTTTTATCTTTTCATTAATATTGATTCTAGTTAAATTACTTATGTTTATATTTCAGAGGGAAGCTGAGATCTTATTTTTCTTAATGATAGTCATAATGCTTAGAACAAAGAAATCTGGGAGTGTAAATATGATCAGTTATCTTTCATCAAGCTTTGTGTATACCAAAGTGGCCAATTTAATTCTTTGGTTTTATGCTGACATACATTTAGGAATTTTGTATGGAATAATTTTTCTCTGTAAGTATAAAAATTAATGTTTTTCAAATACCTCTGAAAACTAATTTAAATTTTAAATATAAAAATTGTTAATCATTGTAGTATGTGGATTGATACTCCCGGAACCAACTTATCAGGGTCCAGAAAATGTGATTTATTTGCGAGGAGCAAATAGTTTGCAAGAAGAATTGGAACGTGATACTAGAATTTGCTGGTTAATTACATTTTACACTGCTTGGAATCCTGCATGTGTGAATTTTGCACCTATCTTTTCAGAATTGTCAGCAAAGTAAGTAATTTACAATTTTTTAATTCAAATCTCAAAGAATATATATACTATTTAATCTTAAATACATTTCATTATTTATGTTTAAAATGCCATTTCTAGATATGCTCTAGACAATTTCAAATTTGGCAAAGTAGATATTGGAAGATATCCTGATGCTGCAGCAAAATATCATATCAATGATTCTAGTAAAAGCCAACAACTGCCAACTTTGATACTTTTTAAGGGAGGAAAAGAAGTTGAAAGAAGGCCTTATGCTGATCGACAAGGCAAAATAGTCAAGTTCCTTTTTTCAATGGTATGAATATTAAATATAAATGAAAGTTTTATATTGTATATTTTACAGATGTAATTTTTTAAATTACAGGATAATATCAAAGATGCATTTGACTTGAAAGGTGTCTATGATCATTGCCAGAAAAACCCAATCAAAAAGAAAGATAAGAAACCAACAAAATCTGATTAAAAGTATTTTTAACCAATGATATTGTAAAATGTAGTGTAATTAGAATTCACTTGACAGTGATGTAAAAGTTTATATTGTCGAGTTATTTCAACTGATTTCACAAATTATGATTTCTGTAAAAATTATAATTCTTTTGGAAGATTTAATTATATATTTAAAAATGCATGAATATTTTTTTGCCAAATATTGATCTTCTACTTGAAGTTATAGCTGATTTCACAGTTGGATAATTCTAAATTTTGTGCAATTTCTAATTATTAAATCAAGGATAGAACGTTTTGTTAGGTGAAAGTACGAACAGAGTAGATTTATAGGTTTATAAGCTAATTTTAGCAGAACCAGTTAAAAAGCAATTTGTTACATATGGTTTAAATGATTAGCATGTGTTATTAATCTAAATTTGTGTAGTACATAGCTAAAATAGATTGATTCAATCAATCTTATTAGTGGAAGAATCTTCAGTAGTTTACAAATTTATAAATTAGAAAAGATACAATTTTATTAAGACTGTTATTATTACTAGTTATAACGTCAACAGCATTAGCTACTATCCAAAAAAAGAAATAGAATTAGAAAAAGCAAGGCGATAATCAAATCAATGAATTAGAAGTTATACATGAAATTGAATTCTTATTAATGAGTGAACAAGAATTATTAATAAAGTTTTTTGCATCTATTTTTCAAATTCATAAAAATATCATTAAATAATGTTAACTCAGATATTAAAGTATATATATAATATTCAATTTTTTGTGATCAGTATTAACATAAAGCAATAATTGCATTCAATAATTTTGAAATAAGATTTTAGATAGACATCTAAACTAAGTATTTTTGACTTAACTTTTTATGTAACGCATTACCCTAAATTATTTGCATGTTTAATGATTAAAAATACATGCGAATTAGCAATTACTTGACAATATTTATTATATATTTATTCGTACAATTAGTTAACTTAAGCATCGCCTTGCTTCTTTTAAGATTTAATTTTAATGCTGTTTTTATTCAAAGATATGTACATGGATCATTACCGACCTTTCGAAATGAATCATTTGCACAATTAATCTTTACAGTGCGATATAAGCTCAATTATGAAATTACAAGAGTGCATTTTTATATACATTGTTTGTCTTTAATAAAATAATATAATGGACTATATATATTTTGTGCATTTAGATCTGATTTCAACATTTATAACAAAAAATATCTAAAATAAAATTTATTCAAATAACATACAGACTTTTTATCAAAATTTATTTTACATCTATATTTACAAACAAAAATTTTAATTCACGTTTCCAAAGGAGGCCACATTAACATTACTTCAGCATGCGCCGATTCGGGTAACCACTTCTGATATGCTGATAACAAAACTAAAAAATAGATTTGCAGTTGTAATAAATGTATCAGTATTTTTTAAGAGCAGCTTCATTGATTGATAAAATTACTTACATTGTGGATCTTCTTTCCATGCTTCAATCAATTTATCTTTAGACATTATTCCTTTTGACAAAAGTAGCTTTGTTATAATTTCAACTCGCGGCAGCAGTCTAGAATAAAGTCAATAAAAATGTAGTACTGACAAACTTTTACTTGCCAAAAAAAATGTTTATTTTTAAACTCACTTTGCCCAAGTCTTATTGAGACTGCTTGGTGTAGATAATAAAATAGGTACATATTTTTTCAATTTTGGAAAAATTTCACCCTCAAGAAGAAATTTCGCAAACCACTTAATTCCTTCAAAATCATTTGGAAATTCTACTTCGACAGTAGGTAATTCCCATGCAGCTGGTCCAAAAGTTCCAGTTTTGTGACATAATACTTTTCCGAGTTCTGCATCATATCTGATAAAAGACATATGAAACGATATTGATAATTTTTTAATGTTGTTCCGGTATAAATAGTGAAAAATATTGAAACGCATGTATGTTACCTAGGAGGAGGGTCAATTAAAGGTTCGCTTAGAGAGCACAGTGATGGAACAAACTTTGGTAACCATTCGGGTTCAATAGCAGTAATACCTCTGATATAAATTTTATTTGTTTCATAAACTTCTTGATATACCACCCACTCAGGAGCTGATTTACGTAATACACATGACGAATGCATAAAGACTGGATCTTCCATTGCTAAGGTTCTATAAAATATGTTTTGTGAAAATAAAACTTAAAGCATCAAACAAAAACTCTAGAAACATACAAGTCAAACTTTTGCTTACTTGTAAGCGTATTTCCACTTAATTTTGTCGCCTTCGGTTTTGGTATTGTATTCTTTTACTTCCTCGGGTAATAATTTATGCGCTACCTGGTCAGTCATACCTGATAAAATAATTTGCCGTAATAGTTTTGCTTCGGTATCGGTGGGAGGTGGCATTCTAAAAACCGAAATAGTTAAGTGCAGAAATGGTTATCTCCAGAAGGAAACTTATTTTAAATCAACTAATGTTAATGAAATGCTTACTTTGGATCAATGGTCAATTTCAAATCGGGCACACCTAATAAAATTTCATTTGTCAATTGGCAACGCAGTTTCCTTATTTCAATCATAGCTTTCTCGCGTAAACCATTCTCTTCACAAAATTTTGACATTTTGTTTTTCGTTGACGAATACTCGGCTGCTCCAACTGCTCTAATCAAAACCATTGGATCACCTATGTAATAAAACAAAAATAATTTATAAAAGTACGATATATAATACCAAATATGTTCATAAAAATTATTTAATTAAGATTTTACAGTTAATTGTATATGATCTACTAATTTAAAAAATTATAGATCAATAAATTTACCTAAAAGAAAACTATTCCCAGTACCAACCCATGATCTACGGATTTGCGTCCACTTAGTTTTTACATTGTCATCTATTCCAAAGGCTTCAACTAAAAGTTCCTGTACTGATAAAGCTGCTACCATGCATATTGCGTAAGCAATAAGATTATGTTGCTGCGAAAGAGCCAACATTTTACCATAACGTGGTAAGACCGGAAAAGCAGCTATGCTTTTTCCCAAATCAGTTATTTTTGCGCAATATAAATCTGAAAATCAAAATAACAGCGTATTAAGTATTGATGAAGGATTATCAGTTAGTTGTATACATTTTTATGTTATTTTACCTTTCTTTTGCATAACACTAGGTTGTTGGAGAGCGCCTAATAAGCGTAATCTTTTTTCTGCCATTTTAAGTTGTTCTTCTCCTGGTGGAGTCGGAAATGGAAAATTCACAACTTTATCTATATTCATTAGTTTCATTTGTAACAATAAATCATCCACAGGCTTTCTACAGATTTCTGGTTCACTAAATTGCGGGAACTGATCATTGAATACCGCTGATGAATAAAGTCTAACAAAAATAGAAATAATTATATGGATTTTTTTATTTATGTTCAATTTTTTAATTCAAATCGATGCAGCTTTTCAAATAGATATACCTATAACAGTGACCAGGACCCAACCTTCCGGCTCTACCAGAACGCTAATCGGGATTAATATAATTTAATTATCTTAATTTATATTATAAAATAATATTATATAATAATAATATTATATAATATTGACCTTAATTTATATTATATTAAGAACGCTATTTACCTGATTAGCAGCAGCTTTACTGGTATATGTTACCATGAAAGTAGTTACACCAGTAACTTTGTCATACATTCTTATTTTAGTTTTACCACTATCTACGACATACTTTATATTAGGAATAGTTAAAGAAGTTTCAGCAACATTTGTCGATACTACGACCAAGCGACAACCGTCAGGAGGTGGTTCAAATACCTATTGAAAAATATATTTCTTAGTTTATAACAATTTTTATTTTAAATGATAGCAGTTAATTTGAAAACTCACTTTTGCTTGTTTATAACTAGGAAGTAAAGAATAAAGTGGTAGCACCCACATTGGTTGCAGATTAGTCGCTCCGTCTAAATCAATTACTTCATCTTCATCGTCGTCGAGCTCATCATAGAGTTTATCATTGTCAATATCTATTAAATCATCCTGACCATCATCGGGCGGAATCGCATTGTAACTAAAATTGAAAAGATTTAGTTGATATAAGTTTATACCATAACAATTATGAAGCTAAAGCACTTACAGGTCGAGATTCACTTGCGGTAATTTTACTGTTTGTGGTATTTTTTTATGTTTATTTTTAGAACCTTTTGAAAAAAATTCATCTTCAGAATCATAATCATTATCAATTACATTTCTTTCATCCGTCGATGTTTCCTGATTTTTCTTATCATTTGAATTATTTGTCCATATCTTTTTTCTAAACGGAAATGCTTTGCGCAGTCTTTTAACTACAGTATTTACTTCTCGCTGGCCTATTAAAATTTCAGATTTTAAGATATGATAAGAAAATTAAATAAATGAATAGAATCAATCAGTGTTATAGGTACCAGTTAAAAATACCAGAATCCCACCGTCTGGTAGTTGAGTGTGTATTTTCACCGTTTTCCTGAATGCTTCTTTCACATAATCTTCATCAGTTCGTCTATTAAAATGAATTGTTACAGGAAACTGTCTTGAGTCAACATTTATTACTGGGGGTTTGACTTTAAATAATCGAGGATTATTAATAAAATCTTCTACTCTCAGAGTAGCTGACATTATAATTAATTTTAATGGTTCTTCTCTTTTGCTTCGTAATGAAACTATCCTAGTTAATAAACCTATTAATATGTCAGTATAGACACTACGTTCATGAGCTTCATCTAAAATTATAACTGAATATTTTTTTAAAAGGAAATCCTAAAAGTAGAATAGACAAATGAAATATGAAATTATGAATAAAATATTTAAGGAATTAGTGAGATAAACTTTAAATCAGCTTACATTTTGAACCTCTTTCAAAAGAACCCCGTCAGTCATAAATTTAATTTTTGTCTCTGGATTAACGTTTCCTTCAAATCTGATAAGATAAGAAACTTCTTTCTCTGTGAGATTCATTTCTTCTGCTACACGCTTACTCATTGAAATTGCTGCTACTCTTCTAGGTTCTGTAATACCAATCATTTTCTCTTTTGCATAACCCGCTTCATAAAGAAATTGTGGAACCTGTGTAGTTTTTCCTAGAAAGTTTATAAAATAAACAATTGAAATATCAATTTTTTACTAAGTTGTATTGTATAAAAATATTTTAAATATTATCTTACCACTTCCAGTTTCTCCAGTTATTATAACAACAGGATTCTCATTGATAGCTTCAACTACAATCTGCTCATCTGCTAAAATTGGAAGCTTTAACCTAGCTTCCTGTATATCGGATTTTCGATTTAAACTAACAAACACTGCAGGCTTTTTATCTATTATTTTGGCAACAGTATATTTTGCAATTTTAGAATCTTCTTTATTCACATTTGGAATAGAATTTTGGGCACTTTGTTTATTTACTATCTCATCAATACCTTTTTCATCAAAATTATCAGTAATGTCCTCTAATTTTTCTTTTTGTTCTGGCTTTTCATTGTTAGTTTTTGTTTTTTGTTCTTGAGTTTTTGAATTATCATTATGTATTTCAATATCTTTTTCATTTTCTTCATTCTCATAAGTTTCACTTTCACTGTCACTTGTTGTCTGAAATTGATTAAATATTTTAGAAGATATTAAAAATGATATTAAATATAATTCTTTCTTACATCAATGTCTAACACATTTGGATCTTTGGAATTATTTTGTTGTTGGACTACACTTAATATAGTAATTCTCCTTTTCTTAGCACCTTTCAATGCATTTACAACAGGTTCATTCAATTCTTTATTTGTGGAAAATTTAATAGAATTTATATATGTTTCCAATTCTTCTTCTTGTAAATGTCTTTTCAACCCTTTAGTCTGAATTGCTGTGAGTGATACATATTTTTTTAATTCTTCATCAGGAACATTTGTTTTTGACAATTCTTCAACTAATGCTGCTCTCTAAACATTAAATTCAACAAAGATGTCAAATTATTTGTATGCATAACAACTAAATAAATACTTACGTCTTTTTTCTTTTTCTTTCTCTCGATAACTTTTTCTAGCTGTTTCCTTTTCTTCTTAGATAAAAAACGTTCAGCTTTTGCTGCTTTATCTTTAATAACTTTTGTTTTCCTTTTTTCACTGGGCAAAACTAATGCATTACATGAATCAAATTCTTCATCTCTATGTGTGATATCTACAGATATCTAAAAAAATTGTACGATTTCTTGAAATATTTTCTCGTCATAATTATAATTATTATAAAAAAATACGAATATCAATGAATACCTTATCTACAGAAGAATTATCGATTTTTATTTCAGGAACGTTCCTAGCTTTTGAATTAAACCTCTTATTTCTACCCATTTTTAAATTTACATCAAAATGTATAATTCATTTGATAAATGATCAATTTTTAAATGGATCAAGTTGTTTAGAACAGACGTTGAGGTTATATTTTTGTATCGAAAAAACACGTGGAGCATGGAATAGAACGTGTACCTGGAGAGTATAGAATACAAACAAAATCGGAGCCAGAGTAGACGACCTGAAGGCAGTCGGGAAGCGATCTTGAAGCGGGCTATATTTGATAATTTGATTCGGTGATTCGGTCCAGCACGTGACGTATATATAGCCCCGGTCCCATAGGTACATACATACATACATACGTATGGATGCGGATGGATACGGACGCGAATCGCAACTGTAGCAACATCACTAAAAATATCTAGTTCGATTATTTAGTACCAACACTACCGGTAGTGAGCAAAAGTGACTGTTGTTTAAAACTGTTGCGCCGAACGTACCACATTTAACGTCTATTGTAACGTTTACACGAGACTCCTCGTTCACACCTATGCATACGCATTAAATCTTAAATAGCTACATATATAGTTAGTATGTCACAAGCGTTTCAAACTATGTAGTTGAGGTTATAATTTGTGTTTATAAACAGATTGAAAAAATCACCAGCATTCTGGAAATTGATTTACATAAAACAACGCGAAATATATAAAAACATATTATCTCTTGTAAATTATTAAATATCTAGTTTACTAAAGTAGTAGAAACATATTGTTAACATGGAAGCAAGTAATGCTATGAACATGAGTGGACCATCAAAGGTATAAGTTTATATAAACCTCGATACAATTAATTACATCATGTTAATAAATTAATTTTGGTATATTTGAAAATATTTAACGTTCTATCACTAGTGTTCAATTAAACTTAAGTTATTATAAATTTTTAGAGAACTAGAGGTGCTAGACAAAAGCAAGTGACAGATTCTGTGACGAAAAAATTTTTGCACAATTTTGATCCTGAACAGAGTGAAAGAGAAAAGCGTAAATTAAATCGACGCTTGCATCATGGAAATAAAAAGGCAGCTCTCTATGATGATAAAGGTATCTATATTACCACTGGACAAGACCTCTGCGATTGCTTAAATAAATCGTGTCAAGGATGTCATTTTCCATGTCCTAAGTGTAGTTCAACAAAGTGTGGGCATGAATGCAGGTATAATAAAAATAAAATTTATTTATAAATATAACAGTAAAGCAAATGGTAAAGTGATAAATGAATGAAAAAATGGTTTCTTGTTTTCATGTTTTATATTTATTTCATTGTATATATTTTAATTTAAAAATGTTATTTAAATTGTGGATATATTTTTCAGAAATAATCGTAAATGGACATATGACTCAATCGAAAATGAAGGCAGTGATAATAATGTTATTAAGAATCCATGTAATCCTAATCAGGGAAATTAGTTTGAATGGCAATTGAAGGGATATATGGGATAAAGTTAAAGTAGATAGTTATTAAAATCTACTAATTGAGCTCTTATTAAGCAAAACTTTTCAATTGCGATGCAGGAATTATTTTAAATTGAGATTTATAAGGTAACTACAGTTTTTTTTACTAGTTTTTAATACTTTTTAAATATCTTTAAATAGACATAACGTAATTACAGAAATGGATAAAGATTTCTTTTTATAAAATTTTAGCAACGCAGAAAGATATTATGTTTAATCATTCAATCTGCCTTCCAGTGTTCGAATTTTAATAAATATTATAATTAATTTCTCCATTTCTTTATCCATTATACATGCACAAGTATTAAGTAATATTAAAAAATTTGTTGATTATTTGAATTTAAAGACTTACAATGTCCGTAATGGGTTAGTGACTGAAAAACTGAATTCATGGATGAAAGGGAGGGAGATAATTAAAGATGATTCAGGATGAATTAGTTATAATTTATTGATCTTTTCTTATGTTTATTGCATATTACATAATATTTATTAAATTACTACTAATCGAAACATATCTTTGTCATGTATAATTCTTTATTTATACCATTGCCTTAACAATGATACAAGATTTTAAGACTTGTATCTCTTTTTTTGTCACTAAGATATAACATTATTTTGATGAATGGCATTGAAGACAAACCATTCATTCATTCTGTGTGTTACATTAAGATATCGTTTGACATTTTAATGAATAATTAAAATCATACTTTGTTACTGTAAAAAAAATAAAATTGTAAAAGTGTTTTTATTTGAATTACTCAAATTCGATTTTTTTTTTTAAGTAGTATCTTTCAAAAACCTCAATATTGCTCTTTATTTACTGTGATTTTTATCACAATTTTGTCATAGTTTCACTGTAATGTTTATTAATCATTAGTAAAGCATTACAAAACTTGCAAAACAATCCTTTTTTACATTCAGTTTTATCATATTAACTTTTCACAATATTATCATGCAAAGCACCAGAATTGAAATTGTTATAGTAACGTCAAACATCATTTAGTAATCAGAATGTTAACTGATACATCACAGCAAAAAAATTGTATCAAAGAAAATACTCTCTATTCTATCATTCCAAAACGAGTTTTAAAAAACTGATACGCAAATTGTATGATTTAATAAATTCTAGTTTAGAAAGCTCATGAAACTTTTTACTATTTGACATTGACGTTTCGAAAAATGCATTACTGATGACTAGCTAATATCTAATTTGTTTATTTACAGTGTATAAGTTTGTTAACAATTTTTATGTTTAACGTAAAGTAATTACAATATACAGGCAATTTAGTTTCTAAATCATTGTACATCTTTATGCATCTACACTATGTATTTTAATACACCGCAGAGGATCTTTTGTAGTCGACGCAAATATTGGTTTTTTTCAGTTTAACTTTATTTACAGAAACTACATACAAAATTATAGACAGTTAATTGTAAAAAAAATAGTTTCATGATTATTGAAGAATATAGAGTTTTTTGTTAGTTTAGATAGCAGTATACCAATGACTATTTTCTAAATTTTAGTTTTCTATTCTTTAATCGCACAATATTGAAAATGATTTTTATTTTATTTATTGCTTTCGAAATGTAAAATGAATAGAGCATCTTCCAATAATTTGTTACTTACTGAATAAAATTAATTTAAATGGAGAAAATCTTGATCTACTAGATTGAAATTGTTACATTATTAATTATTATGTTTACTGTATTTATAACGAAATATTAAATGAGTTTTTATTTAATAATAAATCTTGTGATAAAATACATTATATCAACAAAGATGTATTTCAGTCTCAAGGCTCAAGCGCGATTGTCAAACATACCAATACAAATGATTTCAAAGCGATGTAATTTTATTCAGTTTACTCTACATATGTGTCAGGTTCCCTACGTCAATAGCTCGGCAGTGATAACTCGTACACAGATTTTGTTTTCGTTGCAATGCAAATTTGTTGTAAATCATTAAGACATGAACTGCTAATTTATAAAACAATACTCATACTGAATTGTTAAATGAAATTTCAACTATTGAGAATCAAAGTGGTTATACGATCGAAGCAAACGTTTACTGTTTCAAGTATTTTTACATCAAGTGTATAATCTTCGATAGCCCGATGGCTTCTACACTTTTAAATTTTCGTTTGACATTCAATTGATGCTTTAAAAACTAGATATCTAAACATTGGAGCACAGATATATGTTCGAACTAAAACATGGGTTTGTCGTACCTTTGGTTTTTATTCTTTCGAGAAATTGAAATCGATAGACATTCTAAGCGTTAGACGTAGATTAGTAGGTACACAGAGATATACAAATTATCACATGATTAAACAAATCAAAATGTATTGAGCAATAATTTGTAAATGATACATTGTTTCACTATGTGTACCATCGATGAATTTTTCCTCAACACACTTTTGATCTGTTAAGAGCAGTTAGGGGCGACAATTTTAGCCGAAGGCAGCGTTATGCTTACACTTAGAATACGTCATTATTTATATATATATATATATATATAATTCATAGATGTTTTTGTTCATGTATAACATATACCTCTATGTTTTGTGTTCTACCTAGATTTCTTATATATAGATCTTATTCAAATTACATAAATAATATTTTAATATGATAACGGTAACATCGTCTAGCGTAATTAATTTTTATTTTATTTTTTAAGATACGACGCTTATAATAAACTTATTTATCTATATTTCACCCTTATAATTAACCAATCCCTTCTCTCTTTTTTATATCGTGTTTGTATCGTAAGTGTTCACAACTATTATTATGAGTGTGAAAGGTATCCTATATATCGTCGTGCTCGTTTGAAAAATAGCTTGTTTCGTCCGATATGTCAACGGTTTCGTTACTTCGTATTTGTTTTCCCCTGTGTTCGTTCGTATCATGATATAACATTTTTTTTCTTATGTCTTCTTCAATCAAACTAAAAAATATCCACTTTTTACGCGGTATAATTTTAATGAAGAATTATATCAGGGAGGAAGTGATATCGTTTAAAACGAATATATAGTATAGCGACTCCGTTCATTTCCATATATACTCTATACACTTAAATGGCTATATTTACAGACGATATCTTTATTCCTCATTGATCCCACCTATTATATAATTTTTTTTTATCCTTATGATGTGTCATAGCCGTATAATTTTGTTTCCTTCGTGTCGTTACTTAATTCAAGATTTATAATAAACATTAATGCAAATAAGTTAATAAAAAGTAGCCAAATATTATAGCAATTTAAAACTAAACATTTTTAATAGTAGGACTAAACCATTGTCGCGGTTACAATCAAAAACTTTCTTTTTGTTACATAATTTAAAATGTGTCTAAAACTTTTCCACAAGCTCTAATTGATGTATAACTACGTCATAATACCTAATCGACACTCCGTGCGCAAATTTCGATTTTGAGCGCACGCTCGACCAAAACCGTGCGCTCAAAATCGAACTTTGTACATGTCGTATCAAAAAATACCATACGATACATATTTGGGAAAGTAGATTCTTGTCTCGTGAACGTTTAAAACGCACTTGTATCGTAATGTACTATTAAAAATACCATTTCTTTTTTTCTTATCACTAAGCGCTTGAAGTATAATAGCTTCATCGGAATCGAAGAACGTTACCACGCGATTCGCTTTATAAATATTATAACGCTTCAAAGTGATTCTCATCGATGCAGGAATGTTCACAGATATCATTTAAAATTACATCCTTGGTTCACAGGCTTATTTTTAAAAATTCAACACCTTGATCCTTATCAATTATTTTTACACAAAAAAAGTAAAAACTTCCAAAATCACAAATAAATACTTTTCAATTCGAAACCGAACTATCATAAAAGCGAATCAAATCTTCGTGCGACGAATAAAAAAATCATGCTCGGCCTCGGATCAAGAGGCTGCGTTCACTTGGATCTCGACAGTGTAGTCGAGCTCCCTTTCTCAGTATCAGGATGTCGGCGCGTAACCAAGATTCTTGCGCTGTAAGAATAATGAAATCTCACGGAAAGCTGGGCGCTCGGACTCATCTCTACGCCAACATTCCAACATCAAGTCGTAAATGTCCTTCGAGGAGGCAGTAGGCTTTGGTAAGCATTCGAATTTGTGGGCAATCTACAATAAATTTTACATAATTAGCTTTCATATTTAAAAAAAAAATTAAGCTATTTTTAAAAGTCAGAAAAATTACAGTCAATAGACATGAAATAAAATTAATGTCTTCGTTTTTTTCGCGTTACTACATTGAGGTATGATGAAGAAAGTATCAAGAAGAATCAAAAATTTGAATCTTCATATCAGTTTTCCTTAAAGTAAAATAATTTTTATGAGCTGAAGGTCATAAACGAAAAGAAGCTCTCTACTAGATTAAAACTCATAACTTTACATATTGATTCTTTAGTGCATTCGTGGAAGAAAGTTGTAAAAGAGATATAAAAATTCCATTGATCACAAAAGCAATTTCACGAATCATACAGATTATTACTTTTTTTAATAGTTAGCTAAAATTAATACTATATTAAGAAGATATTCAGTAATTGAAATATACATGCTATATAAACCAAAAAAAAAATTACCTTCTCGTCATCGTCATCATCTTCTTCCTCTTCGCTGCTCTTAATCTGAGAGGCTTCGTCGCTGGCAGCGCATTCATGGCAAAGACTGCGTAGACAACGGACGAGTTCTCTATCGTTGAGATGTTCATAAGGAACGCGCCTTCCGAGATTAAGAATTTCCCAGAGCGTTACAGCGAACGACCAGACATCGCTTTTGGTCGTGTACTTGCCCTGAAAGAAAAAAAATATATAAGCATAAAGCTTATTAACTAAAAACCAAAATGGAACGAAAGCATTACCAAGATAAGAGATTCCCAAGCCATCCATCTTACAGGCAGAGGTATTCCACCATCAACTTTGTAGTAATCACAGGCGTATAATTCGTTGTCTGTACCAAAGTCTGAAATTTTAATGTGATAGGCTTTTCCTACCAGGCAGTTTCTACAACGAAAAAAAGAACGAAAATATTATACCATCTGATATTTTCAATTGATAAGTAACTATTTATTGCATTAGTAGAAAAACCATTTGGCATCTCTTTTTATTCAATTCAAAGTCGAAATTGGCCAAGAGTGGTTTTAAAGCGCTCAGATTATTATGGCGATAGATCGCCGCATGGCTATTTTAGGTTTCAATATTGGAGCGCACCGCGGCGTTGAATCGGAGAGAATATATATCAGGGAGAGAAGTCTTTTCGCTTGATCTCGGTTAATTGCTTCTGAAGTATCATGGGTTCAGGTTGCCATCACGGCCATCGCGATAAATTTACTTGAATGTACTGCTTAAAGAAATATATAAAGCTTTTCTCAAATGGCTTTTATCAGTATATACGAATATTTTATGCATGTATTTGTTTTTTGTTCGCTAATGATCGAGAGTATTCCGAGTTTTGAAAGACAGCGAAAAATGAGTAGAATTTATCGTGTTTAGTCAGACCGATCGATAAAATTCGAAAAAGCATAAAATAATAAAACCAAACGTACTAGTGGTATCATAAATGAATATTCACATGTGACTCGTTGAAATACATATTTAAAAAAAAGCTGCAAAAATGAATATATAAAATTTCATCGAATTTTTTTATTACAGACATGAAAGTAAAATCGCTTAATCCACTCACATCAAAACGAAAACGCTTGACATTTGGGTAAAATAAAAAATTCATAGTAGCCTTTAACAAACAAAGACCTCAATCTGCGCCGAACATAATAAACAAAGAGAGATAAAAAATGTGTGCGTGTAGCCGTAATCCTCTCTAAATCACGCGTCGTTGGAAAATCAAAAGCCCGAGAGAGGGAATCAATGTCGCGCGAATGATGGTCATCAATAATTTTCTCATGGCTAATTGCCCGCTGACGCGCAAATCATTTCTCATCAAAAAGCTCCCTGCACGTATGCACAAGCGTCCGCGCTGATGCATAGCTCTCGCGCGCGAGAGTATTAGCGCTTCCGACTCAAATATTCATGTGGCTGTATAACGAATGAACGCTATGTCTATGCCAGGCAGCCTTTGCAGCAGCAAATGCCTGGTTAATGGGAAAACGACAGAATTATAAAGATAATCGTAGATATAAAGGTCGGGGGGGGGGGGGGGATTTCCAGCTTATTTTCTTAACGAGGCACTGTTAGTTGTGCGTGAATAAGTAAAAACAGCCGAGAAAATATAATGGAATTACGTTAGTTTTTTACGTTATGCTGACGATGAAACAAATTCAGCTACTGCTGGAAAATGGAAAGAAAATGCGATGCGCAGTATACTGCTTCTTGTATTTTATATAAAACTGCTAAACCTTGGTTTATTTTTTATGTTCTTGTAGACCATTGGCACTCTCATTATAGCTGTAATTTGCTTTGATACAGTTAATCAAAAAGTTTGATTGACTAGTTTGATGATTTTTTTGTACAGCAATATATGTACGAAATATAATTGATTATATCAGTTAATAATTAAGAGTGAAAAAATCGTGCTAATTGTCTAACAGATTGAACCAATTAGATACGTACAGCATCAAAGCACGCACATTGGTATAAAAATGAACGAAAAGTAAAATCGATGAATTCTGCTTGGTTTTAATGACAAAGAGGTCGTAAATTCCAGTTGTACATTTTTCACGGCTAATTAATATCGCACTTTTCAAAATGGCACTGAACAATAATTTACAACGAATTACGCAGGAACCAAGTCTCTCGAGCAAAAGTAGATAGATGTGCGAGAGATAGGAGGATAGAAAGGATGACAGCAGCAGAAAGGAGCAGATTGATGCGTGGAAGCGGAAACTGAGACAGAGAGAGAGAGGGTGAGTGGCACAAAGCACTTCTCTACATTTGTAACCGAGGCCGAAACAAAAGGGGACTCGAAGCTGTTGCGCGATTTTGCGTACGACATGATAACGTGCTAGCGCTATTATTTTGCAGCGTTAAGCCCATTTACTCAAATCTTTTTTTTTTCCTGTTTAGTACCGTAAGTACGGTATTATAACTTTTTCAGTTCGAACAGCTTGCGTATGAGAGGTTTGAATTTCACGCTCAACGTCAAATGGTAAGGCTGATGATTATTTTTTGAACGAATATTTGATAGAAACTTCAATCTAATAGAAAAAAACTTGTTCACAAAAATACTGACCAAAAAATGAATGCCGATCGTGATTGAATTAATTATAATTCATTTGAACAAGTAAACTCAGTCCGAAATCACAAATAAATATTTGTAAAAATTTTTTTGCGCTGTACATAGGCAGTCAGAAACTCTTTATGCATGTGAAAGCGTAACACAAAATAAAACACTAAATTTCATTTGAGCATATATGTGGCAAAGACAAAACGATTCCTGATATTGGCAGGTCATGCAAATAAAAATATACAACGTTTGAATGTTTTATATACAGATCTAGATCTTTCTCAGTTCAGTGGAAAACTGCATCTCTAAAAATTGCAAGCAGTTAAACATCGCCTAGAAAGCGAGCATTGAACAGGAAAAGCTGCGTGACAAAAAAAAAGAAAAAGAAATAAATAAAAAGAATGGCAATAGTAGCAGCATCGTCGTCGCGAAATAGCACTCGAGTTTCGATCTTTCGGGGCACATGGAACGCGAAAAATACATTATAGCGGCTCACACACTCGATGCTCGGGGAGGCGCGAAAAACTCCGACGGGAGAGGACTAAAGCGAAGAATAACAGCCGGCGAAAAAAGAGAGAGCTGCTCTGTGCGCTTTGCCGGGTCAGCGTTCGACAACATCACCTGCACACTTGCCCCATTTTCCAGCAGCACGGGTACTATATACCTCTATATATATATATATATATATATATATCGTTGTACGCATCGGTGCTCATGAATAATTGGCGCCTGAACCGGGATTACGAATTTCGCCCTAATCCTTGTATCTGATTTTGTATTTTCTTTTTTGACTGTTTTTCACACTCTCCAGTACTTTTATAATTGCACGACTTTTTCCATTCTAAAAAAATTACACGAACGCTTTGAAAAAAACGAGTATTTACAATCGTATTGATTGACATGGGTTAGTTAGTTTTCAACGAAATTTTTTAGAGAGAGAAAGAGAGGAGAGGCGGAAGGGGATGGGTCGTGTTATTGACCCAATATATCAAAATCCGAGCATATTTTTATCTTGACGTTTTTATGATCTTATTCATTGTTCGTTTTATCTCCTATTTATAACGTTCGACGTGCTTGTATGAACAGTTATCTCGATATATCATGGATTTAGGATGCAAAACTAATGTTTCCATTTGGTAAGTGGCTTACAGAAGAGCATTGTATGTTTTTTGTCAAGATTCTAATTATTCGTCTTTTTTTCAAAACAAAAAGGAAAATAGTACTATTTCGAAATGAGAGTAATAGCAGCAAAGTTTATTGATTTATGAGGAATACCGCAATGTTAGCTACTACTGCGGACAACATGTAGCGGTAAAATGCCCTGCGGAGTTTCACTAATTTTCTGAAATTTTTTAATTTGTAACGAGCGTACGACATAAACTCGCCCCCCGTCATTTTCCAATTCACATCGTTACATTATTTTATTTATGTGAGGCCAGTAACAACCGGCAGCACTTAACCTACTAAACTTCTGGCGCCAGGACAATTTTCCCTCTCACGATCCTCAACATATCTATTGACGTCCTCGAAACTTTAACACTGTACCTACACTACGAATTCCAAAGTTTTTTTTATTCTGTTCCAATATAAAGCTGTTATTTCCTGTACGTTGAATAAAAATAGACTTTTATAATAATAAACGATGAGTCACGACTGTTCCCTATTTTTTCAAACATTCTGCATGTACGTTTTTGAAATTTCAACAGAACGGAGACAAAAATGAAATAAAAACCGCTAAGTATTGGCGAATAGATTTGTAGTATATTGCAATTAAGTTTTCCGGTTGTTTTTCCAATGGTGTTCGTATTTTGACTTGGCAATAGAATGATTCTCGATAAATCTACTCGCAAAAATTGAGAAATATTGAAGCTTTGGATTTTCTCTTGGATAGATATAAAAGTAGTGTATAAAAAAATCTAAGGACAATTCTGAAAAATATTTAATTAATCCAATCTGATAAATCTTATGATAAATTAGTCTATCAGGATCAGACAACATCCATTAACAAAAAGAAAAGTCAATCTGATAAGGTGCAGCTTGCAAAATCTAACAATTAATTTAACGTTACACACAATCCGACAACCACTTGGAATCGTCGTATAGGTAGAGCAAAGTCCAGCCTCTTGCAAGTGAGTTTCATTGAGATTTACGATTGGCTCTGTCGATGAGACTCTTGCTACGCGTCTTTGTCGTAACATTCGTGGCACTTCCCTTCTCTTTTTGAGAAAGTGTATGGGCAAACGTTTATGCTCCGGTTTTCTTCAATAAATTTTCGCGCACAGGTAGCTTCTTCGATTAATACCTTTGTTTCTGTGAAACGATAGCGAGCGAGTGCTCTTTGAAAATTGCCCGGTAAAGCGGTGTGTTTACGACGTGACCTAAGAAATTAAGTTCCGACTCCGTGCTTCTGCATAATAATTGAGAACGTCGGTAGTTAGCTGTTTCGTTATTATTGAAAAAAAAATTATCAATTTTATGTTGTCTTTTGCATAGAATTTCAAATTTAATTATGCTCTTCGCACATAGTAATTTCGACTTCTCTGTAATATAAATAAAAACCAAATTAAGCTTTCAATTTACTCGGAGCTTCTGGGTCGAAATGTAGGTATACCAGGGAGAAACTCAAAAGTAAAACTTTTCCATTTTGAGTATGCTAAATATTTACGAGATTTCGTAATGAATTATTCGGTACACTTATTTTCTACGTGCACGGGAGGAACAAAAAATATAACTAGGAAGTGTTTTTTGGAAATTTTCATCGTGGCATAAAAAATGGGAGGCTCTAGCTAGAGTTGGCGTGGTTGAATTGCTCTGTGGAACTTTTGAGGAGGCGCTTAGGATTTCGCTGTACCCACCTCGTAGCCAGATCTCGATGCACAAAGTTGAGGTTCTCCAAGTACCGCATCCCCGATGCAATTTGCGCGGCCATGTAAATGAGGCAGTTGAAACTGAAACGAGAACGAAACTGACTGTAAATCTGTATGCGTATACACTGCATGCTATGCGGGGAGTTGCGACTATTCATTTCTCTTAGTTCTCGACTTTTTTTTATTCATTTAATTCCATTCTTGTTACAGTACAAAGTCACGGAATACATTTTAAATATGGCATAAATGACCGCGTGAAATCATCAAACCAAAAATAATGCTTTAGCAAACGAAGTCTATTTTCATTAGCTGTAAATATAATCATTTATAGAATCTTTGGAAATAAATAATTTTTTATTGTTGAAGTAATAGTAGAATTGCTATTTCATGTTATATCATCGTGAGTCAACTTGGTGATAAATTTAATTTTCCTTCTAACTTACGTGAAAAACAAAAATCTCACTTCGCGATCGACAAATTCAAAGTTGAAGCACAACTCTGTACAAAAAGCATCCAGAACAAATGAAATCGGCACTACAGTACCATAGTCACTCTATTCAACTTTTAATTAACGCATAGACATATTTATTGTTTATTTAAATTAAATTGTACATAAGTACATCATCGATTTATCGCAGTACCTTAGAGTCTTAACGCCAATTGGCATTGAGTGGGCGTCCTCGGCGGTGACATGGCTCTTGAGGAATTGACAGAGATCGCCGTGTTCCAGATATTCCATTACAACGCAGTAAGGCTCCTCGCGGCAACAGGCACCCAATACACGCGCGATGTTACGGTCTTCTAAGGCTGCCAAGATCCTTACATCCCTTTGAAAGTCAAGCCTATATGCGCGACATTTTACGATTAAAGACCATACGGATCATATTGCAATAAAAATTCAGAGAAGAAGGACTAGGATTATTTTGTTGTTTTTCACAAATATAAATATCAGTAAAAAGATAGCGCACTTGAATGCAAATTGAGCAACAGTTAACATGAGTAAAAACGACTATTCAACCCGAGAACGTCATTTTCTAACTGTAGTGTCATGTCAGAGGAGATAAGAATCGGTCTGGAATTTGTGTACAGCTTCACATGCTTTCGGGAGAGAGCTAATCGATTAGTTAGTTTTAAAAACCTTTAAACGTAAACAGAGGACGAGGCCGGTAGTTAAGAAAACTGTAAATGTGCGGCGGCAGACTTCAATGCAGCTTGCGCAAGCTCTATCGATTGCGTCCGGGAGCATTTCTACGCGCTTCCTCATTCCCGCAACCTCTCGCCAATTCCTGTTTTTTTTTCGTCTTTTATTAGTGGCGATACGTATCATTTACCCCACTGATCTATTTTTCAAAACGCACGATATTCGTTGTGCCATATAAATCATCAAAGATCTATGGTTATTGTGTAAAGAACAAATAAAGCGATTATATAACGTGAAAAAGCAAAAGAATTCGTACGTGCAATATGGATTGTTGTTTCCGACGGAACATGCATATTCAATAAAACGAACAAAACAAGCCGAATCTCCAAAAATAATTTAGATTCACGGCCCGCGGGCATATTATCGCAAGAGCAGCAGCAACAGCACGTGCTTGCGCTCGCTCGCTTCGTAGCGCTAAGCGACTCCACATTCGCAACAGTGGCTTATTTACGGCAGTTGGAACCCATCGACCTATTGACGTACGCACAAGCTAACCATTTACGCATTTACCCTTTCTTTTCGACGGAATTTACAAATTCCGCATACGCTAATTCTTCTTTCTTCGAGCTACTTCTCATTTTGATCTGTCAATTATTTTACTCTGCTTCAAAGATAAAAAAAACGCATTGTTGAGATGAAAAGTCAATATGCAATGGACTAAAAAACTTGCAGCTTGATCATCGACATGTCGATGCAGCGCTTGACTGACTCTGTATGAAATTACTCATGTGTGTCTGCTGTTCCACCGAGTATCGACTTTCTTCTCAGAAACAGCTCCCAGACCTTTTTTTACGTCTCCGATCACATTTCGCTAATTATTTACAAGATACTCTTTTTTCTATCTTCAAATAAGAAATTATAGTGTTTTTGCTGACGTTATCTGGCGTGCTTTATTAAAGAGAAAAATTTCCTTTGAAATACGTCAGAAAAAGAAAAATGTATAAATAGAAAGTAAATCTGAAAGCTCGAGTGCTATTTTTAATAAAGAATCGCCAAGGAAAACGATATATAGCCAGAAGGCGCGCGTTCAAAATACCCTTATCTTCCGTTAACACAGACGCGCTTTTGCTCCGTCTCATCTGCGACAGAGTTTATCCACTTTTTTCACTTATAAGCCAACCAACCACCGATCCGTGAAATACCCTAGACTAATGCTATCTTTTTATTAGCATAGCATTGTCGCATAAAGTAGATTCTATCAAAATATTTCTTCTTTGTCGATGAGCGACAAGGTGATCTCCACATTCATAAACATTTGATACCAAACGTTCTTTTGCCAATGATAAATGCAAATTCCTCGGCACGCTAAGTCATTTCTAAGTATTTTATATAAGTGAATTGCAAAAACAGTAAATATGTTGAGATAGTAGGTCATTTTTAAATTAACCTTAGTTAAAGTTAATTTTGTAATCTGTCATGCCAGCATAACCGTTGGTATTAACCGCTTAGACGGAAAACCGTTAGCTGCATGAAGCGCAAATCTCGACGAGTGGCTTTAGAAGTTTCAATACAAATCGTTGAATCCAACAAATTTTGATTCATCCTTTTCCTTGAAAGTCCACAACGACCGAAGTTTAGAAAATCTCTCTTCTTGGATACTCAAAGAAAGACGTCTGCGGTGAGAGAGAGAGAGAGAGAGGCTCCTCGACCGGCTGTCCGATACGAATCGTAGAAATCGAACATGAGGTAACGGAAAAGAATCGTGCCTCATTTCGTTGCATAGAAAATCACACGAGCGCACGAGTTTTTGGAGAATGTCCTACACACTCTCCTCTGATTGTATGCAAATCCCTAGACGCGCTGAATGTTCCATACAAGGAAGAAGAAACAATGCCTTGACGGAATAGGAGAGCACGTGCAGACGAAAAAGAGATGAAAAAGTAAAACGAGAGGAGGTGTAGCAATATGCAGAAGATAAAACATCACGTCTATAATGTCATAGAGATTCAAAAAGAGTCGAGTTTCGCCGCAGCGAGAGATAGCGAGAGATGAGTTTTAAAATGGTCTAATGTAATCGTGATCGTACGGGCTCACTGTGTTTGTTCTATGCTATTTAATGATGAAGATGTTTACCTTTTGCACGAATATTTTTATTTCAAAAGTGAACCTCGAAAGTGGTTTACCTGGAGATTGTGTACTAAAAAGCATACGGTGCTGGCAATCCACTAAGATAGTACTTCGATTTAAAGGGCCATCGTTTCTTCCATATTTTATGCAAGTCCCGAATATTTTTACAATTGCTATAATAAATAATTGATAACAACTTTACTAATATTCAAAATTATAACTTGAAATAATGTATAATAGTTATTCGTCAAATCGATAGAGAACATTCTTGGCTATAAGCTCTCACCGTCGTGTCACATCGTTTGTATTAAAAACGGCTGTTGGGTACGATTATTTTCACGATGACACTCCAAAATTAAAATATCGTCCGGCTTGAGCGAGACATTGATTACTTGCATGAGAGAACGAAAGTTAAGAAATACATGAATTTCTTGGAATTTCACAAAGGCCGGCAATTCATAGCAGCGTTCCATTTCCGTCATTTCCATCGAGGATTAGTGATAAGGGGGTAAAACTCGCATACTCCGTGAAACGGTACGAATCGTTTGATTGCTAGAGAGAGTGCGCAAGTGAGCAAATTTTTTTTCTCTTCGAATCCCCGAGAGTTTATTGTGCGGAATCCACAGTGTAAGAATAGAAAAAAATAAGGGCAGACTTGAGGAGGGGAAAGAGAAAAGAATTAAGGGCACAACTGTGTGTTTGTACTTACTTTTCCTTCTCGTTCGCTTCCGGTAGTAAAAACTTGACTGCCACGAGCCTCTTACCGAGGGTTGTAGTTGTGCCGTACTCCGGAATTCCCTCGGCTTCCGCGATGTAGACCTTCATTAAAACGGATTGTTTTTTATCTTTTGAGAAAGCGAGAGCAGCTCTTTTCTTTCTTCTTCTTCTCTCTTTTGCAGAGGAATGTTTATGGAAAAGCGAAGTCAATCGTGGATAGAGCTGACGCTCATTTTACGATTATTTTTACGATGGGAAAATGGACGGCGAGTCCAAATCAATCTTTTAAAATTGAAAAAAGAAAGAGAATTGGTCCGATTGCTTAAATGTTGTACAATTTATATTTCAACAAGAAACAAAAATTATGAGGGAAAAAACGAGGGAATCATTGAAAAATTACAATTACTTCTGTACATTCTCAACGGAAATGTATAGTTTCTTAAATTCAAATTATTTTCCTCAGATGATGACACACAGATATCAATAATCATAAACTTTAAAATGATGATTTTTCAAAACAAATGAGAACAGTGTACTTGTTATGTATTTAATAATCTCTCTATGATTTTAAATGCTATCTTCTTGATATTTAAGTTATTTTAGAAAAGAATACTTACTGAACCAAAGGCGCCCTCGGCTAACTTTGAAAGCATGCGAAGTCGATGTCGCGGAAATAAGGGTACATTGGTTTGTTCCAAGCGTTTCTTCAAAGCAGAAAGTACCTCCTGTTGTGTTGGCGACTGTAACACGCAACAAGTGAGAGAATAAAATAATATTATTTTACCCTTCTACTTCAACAAATATATTACGTATAGTATGTAATAAATAAATAATGAAGTAAAGTTCAACTCTAAATTACAATAATATCTATTTTACTGTTAATCCGTTATCAAATTAACAGTAGTAAATTTCATTAGTATGCGCATTTGTAAAACGGAGCGTATATTATAAATGTATTTTTTTTCAAAAACAAATAATGATATGTTATCTATTGACACACGTTTCCATTTTAAAAATTTGATTGTTTATTCTTTAGAGAATACAATATAAAATAAATAAAACAAGCTCACTTTTCCCGTATAACTCATTACGTTATAATTTTGAAGATAACGATATATCTGGAAAAGAAGTATCGGATTCAAGAGCCGTAGAAAGTACCCTTTGAATTACATCTTGAGCTTGTGAGAAGAGGGAAGGGAGCCTTTGAGAACACCTTAACAATTAGCGCAGACGCGTTCTTGGCCAGGGGCAGTCAACGAGTCGCGTTGAGGGCCATCGATTATCGGCTACGTCTCTTTGTGCGAGACCCCGGATTAAATGACTATCGCGCGGCTTCTTAATGCGAGAAGAAGTGGCTACTTGGTTTAGTTCCTTTTTTTTTATCCTTCGTTTACTCAATTGACCCTCAGACTTCCTTGTATTAATCTCTTGAAATATGCATTTGCCTTACTTGCTCGAATTCGTTATGCTATCAATAATAAAAAAGAAACAAGTAATAATATACGTATGTAAAAACTCAAACTGCTCGATTGCTGTCATTATGTAAAATGAAACAAAGCAATTAAATTGGATTTTAATAAAATTAAACTAATGGAAAGTTAATGTATTCAAATGAAATCATAATAATAATTCATGATACGAGACTGAGCGTTTAGTGGACAGTTTTGAGATTAAAATGCAATTTTTTAGCACACACTAAATATGCTAATAATTTCAACTACTTTTCCGATCTTGCTATCATCCAGCGATTATTATGTTTTACACGTATAAACTTGAAGTAATTGTCTCCGAATAGAAATTATATTTATATTTGTCAGGAAATAGCCAATAACAGGAAATAGCAAATTTAAATAAGGAATGCCTTTTTTATAATTTAGTGTTTGTGATTAATTTATTATATAGCCATGTTCGTAGCCAAGTATAAAAAACGAATGAAGTTCTAATTATATAGAAATTGTCAATTCTATACGGAGAAATATCGAAGATTTAATACAAGTCATGTTGGTATTTTATGACGAAAATCTATACCTTATCATAAAAATAAATTATCAGATACAAAATACAGTACCGAAAGATTAATATGCATGTGATTTTATTGTCATTAGAACTGGAAATACTGGTGCAACTATTGCTTCAAGATTCAAGGAAAATCCTAATATAACAATTCTATTGATAGAATCTGGAGGTAAAGAATAGCCGATAATGGATATTACCCTCACGGCAGTGTCTTTACAGTTGAGTGATCAAGTGAATTGGAATTATCAAACGGAGAGTTCTAATAAATACCTTCTAAACTTTAGGGATCGCAAGTGCAATTGGCCGAGAAGCCATGTGACCGGAGACAGCGGTGTCCTCAATTTAATAAGAAAGATTACAATGACTGGGCTACCGAGATCAATGAAGTTCTAACTAAAGTCTTTTGTACGAAGTGTTTGTGTTCTAGCTGATATAATGTCGCAAAGAATAATTTGTTTTCATCTGATAATCTTCTTTCTTACAAAATCAGTCCAATCCTAATTTATCCAAGATATATTCCCAAGGAAGTAGAATAATAAACGACCAATGATTTGAAAAGTCAGCAGAAGGACATCATTTGCAACAGTCAATTAGCAGCATCGCACTAATCATCATACAATCCAGATAATTAAGTCCCAGAGATCAATCGTAGTATGCATCTGTGTGTAGCAATTGGCGCACATCAATTTCCCCAGCGTATATACGTCCGTAGAGGTTGCACAGTACTCTGGCCAGTCGTGTCTATCTAAAATTACTTGCAGCACACGTCAGAGAGAGGAAAGGATATATATACGAATACGTGTGATTGACACGCTGCTCAAAACAGCACGCCGGACCTTGACGCACCGAGCGCGCGTACACGTCAATCAGTATAGATACGCCATGGCGGATTATTAGTAGTGATTCCTATACGTTTCAATTTCATCTGTCCTCTTTAGGCATACAGCTTTTAAACGATTGTCGATACTAAGAGGAAAAGCTTACAGTTGTATATCTATTATTTACTCATGATTGAAATTAATAATTATTTCTTGAGAAATTACAACGCGTCCAGTTTGTTCAACAGTTAGCACTTATCTGACCATATCGGCGAAATTCTAATTAAACAAAAGCACACGCCGTCATTCAAACGTTAAGAACAATACATTACACTTACAAAGGAGGAAGAGTAAGATTTCTGGTGTCTACGTGAGTGGTTCTGTACACACGCAATGTGTATGTGCGGGAAATCGTTTTCGCGGCAGCACACACGAGAGGAATATACAGGCTACTACTGACTTTGCGGCTATTGTGATTCAGGATACGACTCTCTCTACGTTCCAAGCGCAAAATTAAGTTTTGCCTATATACAACGATCTCTCTTTCTCCCCCCCCCTCTTACTCTGTTAAAATCAATGTTATCCTAAGAGAGTGTGCGCGCGTAGGGTGTATTGTCTGAATATTGGAGTATTTGGTTAAACTAGGAGAATGTAGCTTAGTCGTAGCAAACTAGCTACGCGCGAGCAGGGAGAGAGAGCCGCTTTGAGGAATGCATTCGCAAGCCAATCCTACTTAAGCTCCCCGAGGCATAAATAGCTCTGACATAGACCGTTGCACTAATCGATTAACCTCAAAATCAATCGATGCACGAGCGCTTTGGCGAAATAGGCATGAGGATTACGTTCAAACAGCATCGTTAGCTCATATGCAGCTACTTGGCTTTGTGCGCGCACCAACGATCAAATGAAAGTTTGGCAGAAAACAAGACTTGTTCTACGCGGTTGAAGCGCTAATTTTGTCGAAAAACCATTGGAAAGCAGGGCTTTGAGCGACAATAGGAAAAAATAATCAAGCGCCATCGTTGATATATAGAACTTTCCTTCTCTCGCGCTGTCAGCATTCGCACAAATAGAAAATGCCAAGGAAAATGCAGACACCCGAGAAAGGCGACCCGTGATTACGGAGAGAGAGGAAGCTCACTGGAGCGCGTTATGATGACGCATTCCGGGCCACCGCGGTGTGTCGTTTTTTTTTCTTCCTCAAACGCGGGTGTACCACAACTATGCGCATTACGCTGCTGGGAGGTCTTTTTGCTCGCTGCACAGTTGGTGATTGATAGTGCGCTGCAAGCACGAGCATTAATCACCTTCTCAAGACCAAGAAAATTAAGTTAGAGAGCAGGGTGCAAAGGCATATTCGACAAGCCTCGTTGAACTTGAGCAATCGTAATAATTCCAAAGTACTTTATCTCTCTCTCTCTCTCTCTCTCTCTCTTTCTCTCTGCTTCGCAATTAGTGAACTTACGGTGCGTGTTCTAAAGGATATATAGGTTGCCGTGATTTTTTGGGTTGAGGAGAAAGCGTGGAGTCTTTATAGTTTCTTTGGTGTGGTGTTTCAATTTGGGAGTTATACAGTTTTTACGAAAGACCATTGATATTAGTAGAAGCTAACAATTACCAAAATTTCTTCAGTTAGATAAGCCAGAAGATATAACAAAGTGATAACTACGGGAAAATGTTAAGGAAAGCTTGATACAAAGCTCGTAAACCCGTTAAAAGCAATGTGGTTACCGTAAAAAATATTGCAAAAAATAAATCTACAAAGTTATTACAATATGCAGAACGAAAAGTTGAGCCCCATTACAAGCACATCCTGTCGTAAATTCCCTTTTTACAACGAAGAGAGCACGCTCGCAGGCGAAATTGCAGTAACAGAGCGCGCGGGAAAATCTCCCAAGGAAAGCTCGGCAGCAACAAAAATTTAGCAGGCCGAGCGCGCGCGCGCGAGCAAGTAGCGAGTGAGCGAGGAAATACGACCGACAAGGGTAAGATCCTTGGCTGAATAAGGAAGAACTTCAGCCGCATAAAAGAATCATCGTCCCTAGGAATTCACGTGCGAGAGGGAAACTACTACCTGGCCCCATCGGATATTGATTTCAATTATTAATTTTGAAATCTCCCTTGGTACGCTTCTACCTGCCGCGTGTTTTATTGAGCGAGGATTCTTTGTGGGATACGTTGAAAAATGCGGCTTGATCGTTTGACTTTACGAGCTTGACTTTTTTACAGCAACATCGAGGCTACTAATCTTTGGAATCTTGATTCTGACTGACACTTAAATCTTTTTATTTTATTAAGAATCAGATGAAAACAAGGTTTAGTAGAAGTTACTCGATTTAAGCATATTTCTATTGTGATTACGGAAAAAAGCTGTTTAATTAATTTTCTTTCAATTCATGATTTGTTTAGTAAAATAAAATAAAATGAAAAATAAAATAAATAAGTTATAAACATATTTGTATCACATTGAAAAACAATATAATCACAGTTACATTCAACCATTTTGATGATATTTTCTAACAAATTATTTAAAAATATAATCTCTTTCTTTCGCGGTGAATTTTTAAGATTGCACTGAATACTGCAGGTACGTTTTTTGGTTATTTTGGGATATTTTTCAAAATCTGAAAGGCAAAAATTAATGAATTGAAAAAATCACATTTTTTCGAAATTTCGAAAAACTTGATCTCATTAGAATCATATGAATATTTTTGTCATCCTCCGGTATATAAAAATAAATTGATTACCCGTCAAATTATGACGCATGATGGTCTTAAGGCACAAATGATTTGAAGAAAACTATTTTTTTATCAAGACAAAGCTTCCTCTATGAGGAAGCACTATTTGCGTGGAAAAGCAACACTATTCGATGCTTCGGAAATGCAAGCATTAAAAATTTTCCAATATCCTGCAATCTCTTGCAATATTCTGACCAAGTCATATAAACCGCTCGAGTTAAATCCAAGAATAAATATACACATAGTGCAAAAGCCAAGTATGTAAATCTTTGGCAATATTTATAAGGTACGTGCGAGGAAACTTGTGCGATGTTCGATCGGCAAAAAGCTACTACTACCTTAGAACGAAACTCGGGTGAATCAGGGATTACGTGATCTTATGCGCTTTTGGCGACGAAAAGCTTAGCAAATTTTAAAACTCGCGGCAAAATCCGTCTTGTTGAGAATTCGAATATTAAATATTAATTTCTGCACTTTAGCTTTGAATTTTACATAAAAACAACTTGCCTTTTTATCATCAGGTCGACTGCAGCGCGAGGATGTCTTCGAGAAGACGCTGTCCTGATCGCTTGCCGTGCTGTTGGGGGTGCGATTGTCAGAACCGTTGAGAAGTGGCTGCTGGGTACCGAGCTCTGGCACTGCGTACTCGTACGACGCGTCGACCGCACCATTCGCGTATAAGCCTGCAAAGACGGCCGCGATCGATTGAGACGTGGAGGCTAATTGCTCAATTTCGCTGTGGTTATGTGTGCATCGTCTAATGGCTTGGCATTGGATCAGAATGGATAATGCTATACGGTCAGGTATCATTAGGTAAATATACTATTGTTGAAGTATTGTTTTAGCCTGAAATATCATATTTTTGACATAATTTTAATCAATCAGTCTCTTTTTTTGAAGTCTACCTTGATAAAATTTGAGAATTGATATCCATGTTCTTTACAACTCTTTTAGACTTTCATCAAGGTATACTTGTTCATCGAAGAACTTTCGGCTTCTTTAAACTTGTTGAATGCTAACTCCGCTTGAATAATGCGTTTCGAAGATCTTATGACGAAAGTCACTGCTATACAATGTTGCGTATGATATATTATATATTCGCGACGTTACGGTTTCGTTTCTGGCTAAAGTTAGTGCGCCATTACTTCGGAAATTGTTAAACTTTGGCTATTATGCACAACGGACACCCGGGCATTATTACAGTAGATCGTCAGTTAAATTTCGAATCTCATTGTTTCGCGCGTGGACGTGAAAATGGTCTTTTAACGTCACCTAAATGGTCGCGCGTAACATTGACCTAGTTAATTTGGATCATATCGTTCGTGAATACCATTTTACGAGGATACGATTTCATAGCATTTAATACACGTATGAATTTTCATTATTATTGTTTTCAAATAAATATACTGAAATCTGTTGGTTACAGTAAGATTAGATGACCAACTTTAACGACGATATCGATTGATTCAATGAGTCCAGATTCTGTGAAAATTATCAATAGTCACTTTGATATTTCTTATCAAATTTTTGTGTTAAAACTATAATTCACGCCATTCATTCAATTTATTTCAGATGTGGTGTATTGAGAAAACTGTAAGCATCAACAGAAAATAAAATTGAATAAAAAGTAAAAACTCACCTGTATGATTAACAGTGGGAGGCTTGTTGGTGACCATATCCTTCATTTCCATAACGACAGTGCTGTAGCTGTAGTAAGGCGCGTATTTAAGAGCCTGATACGGCTCCTGGTAGTCATCAAGCTTGACAATATCTAAAAGTCGGTTGCCAAGATCCCGGGGTAGCGTCGGCAGCGAGCCACCAGCATATCTTTCGTTTATTGTAGTCCAGAAAAACAGCAAGCGGGAAACAGAAAAAAAACACACGAGGCCACGGATTAAACGGGCTCTCTCTTTATCGGTACAGTAACGAGACGGAAAACAACGCGAGCTCTCGCTCTCTCGTTTTTTATTGTTATCTGACTGTACGATGACAATTTAATTTGTTAACAAGCAGTTATTTGTCAGCTTTGTGTGCAATTATTTTTTAGTTGTGATATAATATTTTGCTGCTTTTTTTAGTACAATCTGTTTGTAGCGGTGAGAGTTAAACTTTTTGGTTAAATGTGTGCTAACAAAGGATGAAAAGTAAAAATTAAAGTACGTTAAATGCAAAGCTTGCAGTGTTGTTATTGTTATTTTAATGCTCATTGCCGCTTGTTTTTTATGGTATTGTAGGTTTTTTCAGCTGGAAATTCGTCTCGTTCGTAAGTAGAAAATGATGGGCATTCCGGTAATTAATGAGTCAAAAAAATTGAAACTGAAATTAGGTTTCAATACGGCGATGTTATCTTAAAAATTGTACGAAAGATAAATGAAATGACACCAAAATCGAGTATCGAGGCAAGAGAGGGTGATGATATAACGAGCGAAGGTATAGACTAGAAACGAAAAAAGGAAAAAAGCAGGGGAAAAAAATAAAGAGGTAGTGAAGGGGCGTTTTCATTGGGACGTTATTGGACGACCGCTAACGAGCTTCATACGTCGATTGAGAATTGCAAGAGAGAAAAAGAAAGTATCGAGAGGAGGAGAGAGAAAAAAAGAAACGTAGCGTGGGTTGGGAGCAAAAAAGGAAGACCGAGAGGGCGCTCGACCGCAAAGCGACGAGTGATACTTTCCTGATTTTCAGGAGGAACATTTTTAGACTCAACGCTACTTCATTGAAACTTCTTTTTACGAGAATTTTCACGTTAGAGCTTACTTTTTTGTGCTACTTTAATCATGCTTGCATGAAAAGTGGCAATGGCATATTTTGTATATGTTATTGTCGAAATTTCTATCGGTATGTTAGATAAATACGTGATTGTTAATTCGCTGCTTTATTCGATTAAAAAATGAATGACTCCTCAGAAGCGCGATTATAAATTAAATTTCTGTAAGTTTGATTTATGACTATAAGGAAGGAAGTATTTCAAAACACGTTTTGTTCTTTTTTCCAATTTAAATATTTATTTCACTTGTTGAAAAGTAGAAAAATATAAAATGTATGTTCTTATCAGTATAGATTACTATCAGTATAGCAAGTTACTATTGCTTTACAATTTAGTCATTACAATTTAGAAATATATTACTTACTCGTCCAATACGCTAATTAAGTGACTTAATATGTAGTACGAACGAATCTATTTGATTGTATTGGCAATCCCATATATTATCGTGATTTGAATTACTTTTGATAAAATCAATTAATTGCGCACGTAATGTTTTTTATGCCGGCAAACTTAAGTCACAAATAAAAGTTTCGGAAGTATTGGCTTTCAATTAACTTACAGACTAATAAAAATAAGTCGACTTTTATCATTTGGCACGTTGAAAACTTGTAATTATTACTCATAGTCTTTTTCAAAATTTGTGGCATCGTCATATTGCTATATTAGTGAACAACATCTTTATTGATTCTCAAAGTACTGCAGAATTGCAGTAGTGGTATATTATTTATTATTATTGTAACATTATCACAGGAAGGATCATGTAGAAAAATATTAACTTGAAAATAAAAAACGAGTTGTATAAATATTTTGTTCACGATACTAAGTAATTCTTTAAGAAAAGTTGGCAAGTTCTGTATAAGTCTTTACGTGTATTATTTGGTATCTTATAAAATAAGTTTTTAAATATTTCTGTGGTTTGTACTACACTTAAAATATTACCCGTATATTACGCTGCAGGAATGTCGTGTATATATATATATATATATATATATAGATATCTACGCAAATGAAAATATATTCTAAATCTAGGTGTACGTACTCAAGAAGTTGCACGAGACAAATATAGCATTGGTGAATGAAATATTATATAAGATTAGAACGTTGAACAATGACTCGATTGAAATATACATTATACTGAAATCTCGTGCAATGTCCTTAGCCTTTAACGCTCTCAGGCCGGCAATACAAGTGATGGCCGTCGATGAGCGTGGCGTGCTCGTCGAAAATCGAAAGCTCATACCTCTCGTCGTCCTCGAGGGTGTAGGCCATCAATGCAGCTCCTTTTTCCACGGTGGCGCAAGTTGAACCGAGATGAGATGGAGTTTTACCATTGACTGGACTGGCGAAACATTTGCGTTGCCTGTGACGTGTGACAATCAAAAAGATCGCCACCGCCAGCAACAGTATCACCGCTGTTAATACGCCAATCACCACTGCCATATAAGTTGGATCGTCGTGTTTTGCCTGGGAAACCGGGGGTTGCTCGCGCACTGTTGACATCGAGCCATTTTTCTCGATGAAGATATCACTTTGAGCTGGCGTTTCCGTTGATGGCATTAGCTCTTCTGACGTGAAATTGCCGTGAGCTACCACTGCAACAAGAAAAATAATAATAGTAAATATGTTGATTGGTAAAGTAAGTTAACGAGTTACTTATGATTATCTTTTATTTGTAACAATAAATTCACCGCTTTAAAGGTCTTTTTCGTTGATTATTCAGAAAAGAATCAATTTACATGGTAATATAAATTTATAGAACATTTCCCAACGGCAAGAATTCCTTGGAAAAGAATTAATTTTCGAAATTTCTTTCGCTTTGTCGACTTTTATTCTAACTTTAAATGTTCGAAATTTAAAATTGGTTCGTATTCATCCATAAAAGATAAGTTACAGCTTACAGAAACGTATACAAACGTTGCAAGTTCTCCTCTTATCTGAATTTTTGATTAAATATCTTAAAAAATGGCAAGTGATTTATCACTATAAAAATCCTAAGTTTGAAAACTAATCGAGTCGAATGAAATTCCAAAATGTTTCGCATGGTAAGGAAGCTTTGGCCAAGCAACAAAATTTATATACGAAGTGAAAGTGTCATAGAATCTCAAACGGTCCGGAAATCAGGGCTCACAGAGAAATTAATATTCATTAAAACTCGAAACGGTTTTTGCTTACAGAAACTTTTAATTAGTATCTCTAATTTCCTGATGTATTAAATTGAGTAATCATTAAAATTTGCTATGCTGGTAGTCGAGCAACGTCAAAACTCATTTCATTCGAGATTCTACTTGCCATCAGTTTTGAAGTAACACTTATTGTGCTCCACCGAATGCGTAATTCGGCACAATTAGCATAATTAGAAAGGCATGATAATACGGGTAATAATCTGTCGAAACATCAGATGAAAATAGACAGAAACGATCGTTACATAAGAAGCTTTTACGGATTTCAAGCAGAACGTATTCTATAAAGATGAATAGAGCCATGAGGTCTAATTAAGAAAGTTTTGAACGATAGTCACTCATAAGTACATCATTAAATATTAGAAAGTTGGTTGTTCGTTTTTACGTTGATTATAAATATTGAAATTGCAAGTAAATCAGATTAACCATATCTTCTATTAATAATCCATTTTTACGTCGTAAAATTAATTGTTATTTGATCATTTTAAAATTTAAATGTAAGTTGCGAAAAGCTTAAAGCAACTAAAAAGTCGATGAAGTCTCAAGAAATACTGGCTGTACAAAATGAATTTTGAAACGTCAACACGAAGTGGTATTTTTGGTGTTTTTTCTTAGCAGAGCTGAGATATCCGACGTGGCAAAACAGGAGTGAAAACAAAAACCGTAACATGCCTCACAGCACTATAAGTCGTTTTATACCAGTATGAAAGACGACCTACAATATATTCTAGGCGCATGTCTGCATGGATTTGGCATGGTCGACCGGAAAGCTCAATTAACGAGATGTCTATTTTAAGTTTAAAAGTTTTTGATTGCTGAATAATGAAAGTATGATATATCATCCTCGATTGCTAATTATCTGAAAAAAAACTAATAATAACGTAGATGACTTTATTTATTATTTCATTACGTTAAATTTGTATGTATAAATCATTTTTTTTAATGCCCCAAAATGTTTCCGTTGGAGAACTCGCGTAAACACAGCTGCCAGAAACTATTAATTTCTTCACACGTGAAATTGTACGAGCCACAAGAAGGCATACGTACGTACGTATAAGTCGTTGGTCGCGCACTCGCGACGCACATCCGCGTAAACTCGTCGTCTCCGCGGGACTACGACGACGGACGGCTGCGACAGCCGCTCCGAAATCTGGCTCTCGAGGAAAACACACGCGAATATAAGCGTGTCATTTATACGGCTTTTGCTGCGGGGCGGGGGGGTGGTTAAGCCGTGTGGTCCCTCGGAATTCCCGGGAGGAGGGGATGGTCGGGATTACGGCGACGGCAGCGGCGGCGGCTCGTGCAGGAAACAAAGCTGTCTTCTCGTCGTGTTTGATATCGGATTTTAGCGGGCGACGCTGAACCTGCCACCCCACTCCGCGTTAGCCTTTTCTATGAAATCTGATATTAAACATTCTTTGCACGCCAGACAAGGGATTTTCTGCTCTGGCAGGTGACCGCACCATCGCACAACCACGTTTTCTTTTAATTTTTTCTTCTAACGGAAGGGAGGGTTGCGTCCCGCTGAATAACTTGGTTACAGACCACTATGCACGAGGGATACTGAGATGTCATAGTTTGAACATGATTATAATGTCAAGTCGAGCGGTCACTCGACTATTCGGATTTCTTATGGATTTGAAAATAATTTTGTTAATGAGCAGAGTGACATGCATAAAATGATATGTGAAACATTTGAAAAACTTTGAAAAAATGTACAAGGTTTAAGAGAATTTAACACTCGTTTCGAGAGTAAAACTCCACAGTGTCAACTTTGTACGTATTATTTGAATGAAACTTTGAAAATAGGACGTCAAAACGAACTGTCGCTAAAATTTATAGGTCAATTTTGAGCCAGCATATAACCAACTACTGAGCTATAGTTTATATATATACATACATAACTTCAATAACACGATATTCCAAGAGCAGGAAGAAACGTCGATAATTTGCAGTTACGTATAATGGGTCAGGAAAGATGTAAGCCACGTTAATGTCATGCATTTGGCGCGATACACAGGGAAGCTGTCATCCGAAGGCATTGCGGTCACGTCATATCGGGGAATGGCCGTTTATCGAAAATTTTCCAATTTTCTCCCTTGCGTCCGCACGCGACGCGTCGCAAGCTTGCATGCAAAAGCCACGCGTGTGCAGCTGATGCACGACGTCAAACGCCACTAATGCAGCTCTCCCTCCCTTCTCCATTTCTCTTCCTCTCTGCTCTTGCCTTCATCTCGCTTGAGTGCCAATTTTTAGCTCTTTGATTTAGCGCGCTTAATGGAAATGCACCGCAAACTTCATTCGCACGCCGGTCAGCGCGACTGATCCGTTCCTTTCTTCTTTTTTCTATTTTTAAGGATTTTATTTTTGAGATTGATAGGAGCGTTAAATTGAAGATTGGATTAAACCAGTTTTTTCAATTAATTGCGCAATTGAAAATTGGAGGAAACTTTTATTACGTCAATAGTTTAAAATATTCTTCAGAACATCCACTACTTGATCTTTAGAAATCTATGCATAGGTAATCGTCGGCGGGCATCAGTAGTGACGCTTCGAAATCATTGAATCCTAAAGACCCGAAACATTACGCAGAGAGAACGTTTGAAAGCCTTCTCCACCGAGCGATGGAATATGAGCGCATAAAACGCATGTGAAAAAAAGCCAAGAAGGTAAAAGTAGGAAATAGTCCCTATGTGCTCACAAATTCTCATTAACGAGCTGCGCCAATGAACTTTTCGATCCTATTGAATTCGAGGTTTATTCTTTTATGCTTTTTCTGGGATAAAAAAATGGTAATTGTATAAAGTCGTCCTAATTAATAATCAGCAATTTCATTATTATGCGTATAATACATCATTTTCACTTATTTGATGCTCAGGCTTAAACGCAAAATTAGATTTCTAGGAGTACAAGTCTATTTTAGTCAGCCGTAGATTTTTTTTTTCGTTATATGCTTTCATACTGGCGTAGGTACATCCTAAACTGAAAATATAGTAATACAAAATCCAGTAAATTGAATACAGTGAACATAACATTTCAATATCTCGAAAAATGTATGCCGGCGAATTCAAGAACAATTTAAGTCGATCATATTCTTGCACTTGTCACATTTTCGCTAGCAGATAAAAATGTTTCAATATATACGTCATATACGATTTCTCGAGTTATCTCTTTCTCAGGTTTTTATTTGATGTACACTTCTAGGTGAAAATCTTTTTCTTTAGTTCTTTTTCTCTTCTAAATCCATTTTAGGAAAATTGACGAAGTACTTCATTTTAATGGAAATGAAGAAGTTATTTCACTTTTAATAGATAATTTGGTAAAATATTTCTGATCGAACCCCTTTTTGCGCACTACCTTAATAATGTCAATCCACTTATCATGAAAAAAGAGAGAAAACGTTCATTGCGCACGTAGGAAGCATAAAAAGTAAAGCTTACCAGAGACGAAAGTAACTTCGCTGATCATAATCCACTTAGCAGCAAAGTGTAGCCTGAGTTTAACGAACTTTCCCACGCGATTGTGAAGTTTGACCGTGATGTTGTGTGCATGCTCGAAAATGCTATCCTCCACGGAATTATAGGTTATCGGCTCTCCACCGTAATACTTGCCGCCTATGCTGAATAGAGCTTCCAATTGAGAGAACATCTGAAAAAAGTCAGCTTGTTACTTAAACATTAATTTATACATCTATATTGGCTAAAAATTTACAGTTTATTCGTTAACTGTTATTCGTTAATCAATAGTTTGTCGCTAAAATAATGAAAATGTAAGATTCAATTCAATTTTAGTTAGAAGAAATAAATAACTGCATCTAAATCATCAGATCCTACGTAAAAATGAATATTTGGCATGAGAGATTCGCGTTTTTCATTTTCTTATAAATTCCAAATAATGCCAAACGATAAATTTTCCAAAAGAAAGTATCTCTCGCAGAATATAGAATCATAACAAACAATCGTTTTGTTTGGAAATTTGTTAATTAATACCTGATCATACCTCAATCTAAGTATACTAAAATTTATGAAATAAAAGCTCGAGGTAGTGAAATATGAGTTGAGTAACGAATTTCTGTAACCGCATTATGAATAACCGTCGTATATAAGGTAAGAAGTGTCTCTCGTAACGTTTCCGTACGAAACCCTAAAGCGTCACGCGAGAATTGAATGAGCGAACGATGCGAATTAATCTGTTAAACGCGAACGCGAGACCGGGGCGTCGTCGTCAATGTATATTCTCGTAAATCACTTTTCGCGCGCGCGACATTGATAGATGCGACAGCAGGTCCAAAAACTTGCCGCTTATTCCAACTTTTCCGAGCGCGCAACGAATTACGTCTGTGGCTTTTCTCTCGCTTTCGCGAGCGATGGTGGCCACTCACTTGGAACGGAGGAGCTTTTCCAAGTTCGATGAACCGCGTGATCCTATTATAAATCAGATATTTTACGGAGGTAGAGGATCGATTTAAGTTTTTTAGCTCTGTGAACTGTGAGACAGAGAGAGAGAGAGAGAGAGAATCCAGGACGTTGAATATTCAGTACTGTCAATTCAACGAGTTTTTTGTGCGATCCAACTTTACAATTATCCTACTACTGCGCGATTTTCAACCTGCGCGACTGATACGATTCGTCAAACTTTCAGCGAACAAAGCTGAAGACAATGACGAATCGAAAAATTTGCTCGACCAAATCACGATGTGTAATCACATTGAGAGAAGCGACCGCAGTGAATTAAACTAAATGTTGATCATATTGTAAGAGCCAAATGACACACAACGAAGCTTAATGAATTCATTGATTCCACGCAAGACAGGGCCAATCTGCGGCGTTGTTGATTAAGCCAGAACACGCTAGACACCGCCAACAACTTATATATTTCGCTGAAGAAAATGGAATGTGATTAATCGTGATGAAGATATATACGAGCTGCGTATGCTATTTAAAATAGATAGTCATCTTGCACGAGACGAAGTAACAAAAGAAACAGAGGAGTTCTTTTTTTCCATTCATGAATATATACGCGAGATTTGCTAAATAGATATTGTTGGAACGTCGGCATTCCTCGTTTTTTTAAGAATGATGGATTTGAATAGCCGTAACTGATTCATTTTTTCATGAGCACTGACTGTACTTGCAACAGATGGAAATGACGTGAAACAAATGTTTCTTTATGCACTATCGTTGTCTATGTGATGTTTACAATTCCAAAAAGCTTTCAGACAGAAAGAAACATTACGAATTTTTCTATGGCAAATATCATTTTTACAAGATAAACAAAGATGATTGTCAAATATTTTATATTTTATGGAAAAAAAATGTTTTTCGTTCAGATATGCTGCAACAAAAACATATAATCGAATTCGATAGCGAACGCATAAAAGAAACGGGAATGAAAATAGCATGATGTTATTCCGATCACGTATAATTTCCATGGAAATGATTTATTTGCCCGAAAAATCGGAATGCGGTAACACATATCGAATTCCATTTGGAAAATCAGCTTTCACGGATGTAAAAGAAACAATATGAAAACGCAAACATTGAAAATTTCAAAAAGGACCAGAGAGAAAGGTGGCCAATGAAATTACATCGCCAATATGCGCACCATAGAAAATTACCCCTATTGAAAAAGTCTGCTGAAGTTGCTTTCCACGGGAAATAAAATTAAAATCTCTGTCCCGCAGTCGCCACAGTAATTTTTCAACAATGCAAACAGTTTTTGGGCCAAAAGGGAGAAGAGAGCAGTCCTCGCCAACGAAAAAAAAATTCCAACAGCTGCATGCAGACACACTCAGAGGTAGGGAAAGGTAGCGCGCTGCAGTCGCTGATATTTCAATTTTAAATTGAGTCGCGACTGTATCAGTGGATACAACGCTGCTGCTCTTCTCTTTATGCATCGCAAAACGACCAAGGATTGGTACACGAATCAGATTTGGCATACGGTGCAAGCTCGTGGTATTAAATTGAGAGCTATGCATGAGGTTTTTCTCATGGAATCTACTCGTAAATATAGTTCAGCCATTTGTAAACGACGCGTGACGACACAATTCAGATTTCCGTGGAATCTGTGTCAACAGAATACATGTTGTTTGACATTTTGTAAGGCGATTAAGACTTTTAGTCAAAATTAAACTGGAAAATTTCATAAAAACCTTCCACACCGATAGATTATCTCTCAATGATGTTTCGTTCTTGATGCTTCATACTTCTATTTCCATTTTAAATCTACATCCATTCATTTTGAAATGCATGCGTCACTGAAAAAATGAACATCGAGAAATGTTAAGAGTTTATAACGAGGAGATCCAAGCTATTATGGATTTAAAAAGGGAGGCAGAAGGAGCTCTTTTCCATAAAAATTTATTCAGCTTTTCAGATGCAAAGAGATTCCGAAAAAAATTTCAATAACATTATGTGATAAAAATGCAAATTGCATTAATTTTCTACACGCAAGGTAGATTATCTTCCTACGCCTCCAAGGTTTAAGCTTCATATTCACTTTAATTAAGCTTCATTATCGAAATTTGATCACGCTAAACGAGCCTCATTTTTCTCTACCTACAGTGTTATCTTCATAACAATGCCAATAATTTAATGACGCCATGGTTTGAAATCGAGCTACCCAGTAGAAACGCTATCTGAAAAATGTTATTCAAATAACAGAATGAGATATCATATTTGAAAATCATAAGTGATAAAGCTAGTGGATGTATTCCAAAAACGAACGAAAAAATACTCGATCCAAGCCGTCACGAAAGAAAATACATTCAGCCGCTTAATCACTCGCGCTTCATCTGCAAAACAAACGAAGAGAAAAGTATACCAATGAGCTCAAGTACGTCCAACTCCGCGGTGCGGGCTCAACATCCATCTTTTTCCAAGCACTCGGCTTTCCATAAATAAAAGCCGTCTTAAATTCGATGCATTAAGGGCGAAATATACCCCACCCCCTCCATCACGCGAACAAAGCCAGCTTATATACTATACACACAAACTAATTTCGATTTTAAAACTTTCGAAGTATGAACAAAGCAACGCGTTCAATCACGTAATTCGTGCGCGTCGTATCTTTGGTAACCGAATGGTGATGTTTGCTTTCTTTTTTTGCGGTTAAACACGCGAAGCTGCGTGTAATGCAGCGAGAAACGGGAAAAAGCTCCTATTCAAATTCTCCGTAGCATTGTTTCATGCGAATGAAAACACGCTCTTCATTTTTAATGTTTCAAGCTTTTGAAATATTCGAACGAATTATTACTTCGTGAAGGGTCGAGGAAATTTGTATGAAAACTCGCTCGTTGCGTGTACGCGCCTTTTTTTATTATGCCTTGAATTCGAAAGGCAATGTTAACGAAAAAAGTTGGATGAACGAGGAAATTTTTATTTTTTCCAAATTAGTTTTATGTTGTGAATGGTGTTCATATTTTACTTTAGACATTAAAAAACTTGCAAATACTCATTTAATGATGGTGTTACGTTTTGGAATTTGATTGATAAAAAGTGACTAAACGTTTACTTTTAGTTAAGTGTAATTTGAAAGGACGAAATCGAGGCAGTTAAACACTTCACCTAATGAAACATTAATGAAAGTGAACGAAAGAAAACTATTTAATTGCTTGCAACAAAAACTTAGTGTACACTGGCGTGTTTATTTATTTTTTCCACTGAATTTCGGAAAAAATAGTAAGTAACCTTTTCACTATATATCATTCAAGCGCATCACTGAAACTAATGAGTTGAGCGAGGAAATGTAGTATACCGGAAAAATCAATCAGCAAAAATCAGGAGGATTCCATAACGGAGAGAACTCATTAAGTCGATCGTCAAGAAACTTAAAAGCTGCGCTAAAGCGAATAAAGCGTACGCATGGGAGGTAGCTTTTATATGAAAATCACGTACTCCTTGGTAGAGTGACTTGAAGCGTGAAAAAAAGGCATTGCATTAAGTTCATCCACTTAGGCCGAGTCGAATCCGAAGACGTGCCTTTCTTCCTTTTTATCTCGCCTTCGACACGCACATTGGCTTTTAGAGAGTCTCGCGGCTGAGTATAAAAAGGGAGGAGCGGAGGTATATAGGCGCGCTAGGAAGGACGAGTAACAGCTCGTCGGCAGTGTGAGGATGCTGTGTGAGAGATGCAATTTCTTGTCTCAAAACTTTTGTCGTCTGTATACGGGTTCTTTTATCTTTCTTTTTCCGTCTGACATTGATTTTTTTGTTAAAGGATTGTATGCGATAAAAATGTTATTAACGAATTTACAGACAATTGTTTTTTCTTTTAAAAATAAATGCAATTTTTCTTTTTCATCTGTAAAATTTATTTTTTAACGTGATACTTTGTGCTTCATAAACTATCAAACATCAAATTTTATAATTCTGCCACAGTGATAAACTTTCAAAGACAAAATTTATATTTTAGTTTTGAACTTCAGAGAAAAATCAATTTCGAATATTGCCAATACCACTATGATCTTTGAAATACAATTTCTTTTCGCAGAAAAGTCCTTGTGAAAAATAAGCAATAAAGTGGAAGAAAAAATAAAATTTCGTGAGTGATATTTTCTATGTATAAGATAATATTTTTCGAAGGAAATATGTCCATCAAGCAAAATTATTGCTGTGCTAAAATAATTTTTATTTTTAGGAATTTTCATTTAGTGTATAGAAATTTGTAGTTCAATATGATCGGTTTCAAATAATTTTTACTATAATTATTTATTTTAAGCGACAATTTACTACATGACATAATTCCAATCAACAAAATTATCGAAGGCAATAGTAAGAGATAATTTAAAAATCTGAATTTTTTCCGATTAATCGTAAAAATTATAACTAGCCATTTGTAAACTCAGCCTATACATTGCCGTCACCTGTTCACTCTCAATTTCGTCATGACGTTCGTTCTCATTCCTCTCCCTTTTCAAACTTTTCTCTCGCTCTCGTGAAGGGAGCGCTCGCTTGGATCTCTCTTTTTTATCCAGAAGCGAGTGAAATATATTGAAGATTCGACGGGCGTATCTCTGATAAAGAGCCGAGTGGAATATTCAATCAAGGCGCAGAGCAGCAGCAGCAGCGGAGCATCGTAGACGCGCTAGTTGGCTTTGCCGGTGTGCAAGGCAAGTCTTCTTCACTGCGAGTTGGCAATAACGATGCTGCTGCTATGTATGCGCGTCTTTGGCATTATGCGCCGTGGAAAGGCGAGCACCAAGCCTCCTTTTACTCGTGAGTTACTCTCAAGCTGGATTATTATGCCCTATTTTGTCTCCGCACTTGCAACTCACGAATGCCAAATTTAAGAGATTATTATTATTATTTCGCGAGTAATTTTTGAGTTTTTCCCTATTGGGCCTATTGTCTTCACGCTAACTTACTGCAACAATGAAAGAGCTTTTCATTTATACTCGCAGGAATTTTTTAATTGTGCTTTATTACCTTCCTGTACTACATTGACTTTTTTATTTCTTCGAACTAAATTTTTGGTTTCGATATAATTTTTAACAGGATCTTGTATATCGCTTTTAAATTCTTCATTTTATTTGAAATCCGTTTACAAGAAATAAATAGTGTAGGGTAAGAGCGGAACACTTCAGAAAGGGTTACTATTTACTTGAATTAGATGCCTTCATACGAAATTCTGACGCCGGATTATTCCTTTTCAATTTGGATGACATTTGCTTCTTCATTTTGCTCACTTTCAATAGAATATTTGAAGAATATATAACAAAACGGCAGTAAACTTGCATCGCTCTTTGTTCTCGATCTTAAGAATTGATCAAAATGGTATTTAGCCATATATTGTGAAAATTGATCACTATACCAAAGATATCGCAAGTACCTTGAGTTGACTGCTCGTTGCCTATTATCATAATTGAATTTTACTGGATAAGAAGATGACAAACAAACAAACAATTTCTTTTTTCGCAAAAAATAATTCTATGACTATTATTAATACTTATTGCACGACTTTGAGGTACTTTGATAGTTTACATTTAAATACTAAAATTATATTTTTAGTGACAACAATAAAATAAATGAAATGGCAGAACATAATCCCATGGGCAATTTGGCAGAAAGTTTGGAATCGAAGACATTCCAGTAGAACTGCGCACTTATCGCACCAAGCGCTAAGAAGAGATCGGGAGCACGAGAAGACGGAAAAAGTCCCAGATAAAGGTCGGTTACTCTCTCTCACTAGACGACTAAGGAGGTAGATAGGTATGAGACCGAAGCCTGTTGATCTCTAGCTCTCTCTCTCTCTCTCTCTCGTGCGACGTCCGTCGGAAGTGCGCGCTATTTTGGTATTCAGCGTGAATCCGAGACGCGACACGAGAGTATGGCGGCATTATGCCAAACTGAGCAGAACACGCGATTTCACGAGTTTAACTATCGGCGATATTCGTATTCCCTTTTCACACGATTTTTCGGTCGCTCATATCTTGGATTTAGAAAGACCTAGAGAGAGAGACAGACAAACAGACAGATAGAGAGAGAGAGAGAGAGAGAGAGAGAGATAAAGCGAGAGACAGAGGGAGTGATGGGGAAATTGACTAGAATTTCTCGTTAAGATTTTTATTTGTTTTCGAAAAGCTTTTTGCAGTATTGAAAATAGCGCGAGAATGACACGTTTTAAGTTTTAACGCAACGACTTACGTACGAAATATGCGAAACTTGGACTTTAGAAGTTGAAGCTCCAGTCGAGGTCGTAAGGATGTCACGTTACCTCTTAAAATGGTAGCTACCTGGTCTCTCCTAAACTTTCGGCCAAGAATCTTTAATATCTTACTTGGCCGCGTAATGTAACTTGAAATCGTAGTGGAAGGTAACTCAACTTTGAGTTAAATCGAAAAACTTGAGATTGGAAAGGATTTGTCAAATAATCTATCAACTAATACATGTTTTAACAACCATTTTTAATTGAAAAGTGTATCAATCAAAACTAACGCAGCCCACACGTACATTGTTCATCGTTCATAAATAGGTATTCAAGTATATCTAGTGATCATAGCAAAATCTAGTCGCGAATGAGAGAGAAGCCAAATTCACGCGATATGCCGCTTGTCGTTTTAACTGCGGATGCATCAATATTCAAATTTAACCATAGAGAGTAGGATGCTGCCTGGTTGGGTTGTAGTAGATGGGTTACGCTCTCTCTCTCTCTCCTCTCTCTCGCAACGTTCGATTATCATTGATTTCAATTGGCCCGGACCAATCATGAATGATTTATAAAGTAGCCGTAAATGAGAAAATTCTCAGTCTAATTGATTCGAGGCATGTCGGTCAGACAAAAATATGCCGCTATCGCGCGAGGACAATCGTGTAAATTTCGAGTAATGAAAGTTAATTAAGAAAAGCGCGCGCGAGCGTTGATGATTACCCCTATCTCTTTTAAGGATGTCGAAAATGGGAAAATGTATATTGAAGACGATATTTTACTAACGAGTGTGTAATGGAACCTCTTAATAGCAGAAGTATGGCTCACGACAAAACCTATCTTATCGCACGAGGCAAATATATAAATGATTTCAACGTCAGTCACTGGCATACGTCTCTTAGCTCTTCAAAGAACATAAAGTACGTTCAGCCACGAGTTTTTTCAAAAATGAAAGGTCTTCTACTTGTATTGATTTTCGCTGCAGCGAAACAGGTATGTAACGAGTAATATTAACTATAATTGAATCAAATTAATTATCAGTGATTACATTTTATTTATTTTATGCTTCGTAAAGAGTGGCATTCTAGGAAGAACTATTAATGATGAAATTACCTCGCAACAAATGATAAATCAAACGCCTGATATTAAAATGCGTATTAATCAGATTAAGGATTTGGCTACTGCCTTCGGAAAAAATATAACAGAAACTTTAACTCAAAATATTACTACCGAACTAGAAAAGCACTCTATTGTACTCACAGCTGAGGTAAATAACATTTATATTTTACTTCTGTATTACAATTAATATTGTCTATCAATTATAGGAATTTTTCAACTACCATAAACGAACAGGTTCTCTTCCAGCAGAATGCAAATCTGTATATAATTCACAATATAACAAAGTGAAAATAAACATCAGCAATAAACTTTTTAGAAACATTACTAAACACTACAGGGAAAAAAACCAATTTTTAACAAACATAATCAAAAATGTAATGACACTTTTCTATATTTTTTTCGATTGTTTAATAAATAAAATTTTACATGAAAATATTCTGTTGCATAAAATCAGGGGCTGGAGGATTTTGAAAAAGGCAAATCTCAACCAACGTACGCAAATGATCTTCAAGTAAGAATAAATGAAGCTTTTAAAATGATCGACTCAATGAAAAAAGAAAAACATGAAGTTTTAAATGAAACTTTGAATTATTTACACGGAGACGAATGTTATACATACCTTCATCAAAATTTTTATTTACCTTTTATGAAATGCTTAAAAAAATATTAAGTGCTAATTTATAATAAAGAGATGACATGCCTCATCACGGTCGTCAATCATTTGTATCATTATATAAGAACCAATTTTTAATGATTTGGAATTCCTATAATATTTGTAATTAATTAATAAATGTTTGTTAAAATATTAATTTGGACGTTTTTATTTTTTCTCTACATGCTGTAAAAAAATATGTATTAATACTTTCTAGATTCTTAAAAAATTATTATGCCAAATAAATAGCGCTAAATATAAATATATGAGCTACGAATTTATGACGTATTTTCGTGTTTTTCGACTTTCAAGGCCACCAGGTAAATGTGAAGGCTTCGTGATGAAGAATGAGGAAATTGTACAGTGCATGTGACATTCGTATTGTCAAATACATAAATACATATTAATGGCTTTGTTGTTTGTCTGCGGTTGCCTAGTTTGATAGTGTTTCATTGATATTAGATCTAGTCTGTACACTTGAACTAAATTAAATTCCGTGATATGTACATACGTTTATTAGTAATAGTATTGAAACAGGCTTTCCTATTTTACGCAATATTTAAATTATTATTTGAAGCTGGCATCTTATAAAATTAAAAAAAAATGCAAATTTTATAATAATAAGTATCGTATGTAAAGGCATGAGATGAATTACGGTAGCAACTTGATTATATAATTATTAAATTGAATCGACTGACAGCTTGGATAAATAACATAAACAAAACAATTTACTGGCAATACTGTCAACTATATTTTTATTGTAAAATAAGTTACGACGTTTCGTCTACATAGTGAGTAGACCTTTTCAAGTCACTAAAAATGTACACATATATAATACATATAAATAATGCTATAAAATATTAAAATAAAGATATCACTCACTCAAATCAATAATACAAAACCAACGCAGATAAAATAAATTGTGGTGAAAAACCATGTCAAAGCCAATGTGACATTTGTATTCTATCGTAGCAATATAGCTACTAATACTCATTAAACCAAGAGTCAAACTAACATTGATTAAACTAAACTTGATTATGTTTTATAATGCGACGAGTTTATTCGTGAAAACCAATTTTTCATATTTTTATTCATAACTTCGAAAGTACAATCATTCAATAATCAAGAAACTTTTCAAAATTATTTATGCCACCATCGTGAAAAAACAGAAGCTTGAGATAATTAATCTATTGCATATTGTAGTCACGTAACTATGCACAAGTAATATATCGACAACATAAATAAACTAAAGTAGAAATAGACGAAGATACGGTGATGGTAATTCAATATAACGAAGAAATCTTGCGTTGTTGATAAGGCAACAATTAATCAACATCACAATAGCAGCTGGTTGTCTCATTAATGAGTATTTGCAGGCTTTTATTATTGTAAGTTAAGTATGTTATTCCATATAAATTTCGTACAGATAAAAGAAGTTTTTCATAGAATATTGTTTAAAATATTGTTACAAATAAGAAGTACAAGTGAGCTAGCGTTATTATTTGCGTCTCTCTCTCTCTTTCTCTCTCTCTCTCGCAACGTTCGATTATCATTGATTTCAATTGGCCCGGACCGATCATGAATAGCACCGAGAACACGAGAGTCGAATTATGCTGATGGATTTCAGCGTTGGGTAGCAGCATGAATCGAAAGTAGGTTTCTAATTATTACCGCTCGCCTGACACACTGCAATCTAGGTTTATTACCCAAATATCATCTCTGCCGAGAATAATTGAATATAAGGGAGATGTATATTGCGTGGATATTCGCTTCGGCAATTCTATCTTTGCTTTTAAAATATGCAAATTGCTATTAATGCCATTTCCTGCCGTTTGCATATAAATATAAAGTTACTGATTTTCGATATTGCTTGAAGCAGAATAGTTAAACACTGCAGTTGAATATACTCCATTCATTTTTTTACAAGTGATAATCGTTTTATTTAATTTTATATTTAATACACCAATATTTTCACTCACCTTGACATCCTTGGTGAACTGATTGTTGCAGACGATATGCACAGCCGAGAACTCCCTAACGCGATCGAATTCGAATTTGATCTCGATGGGTTGCCCATTCCTGGTATCATTCTTCCAACCAACCCAGCCTTTGCCTCTCACGTGCGAATGGAATCCATTCTTGTAGTTATCAGGGCCTGCCTTACCGTCAATCAACTGACCCAGACCACGACGTAACTCACCATCCCAGAGTCCGTCGTAGGTCACGTCGTAGAATTCCCAGTCTTTACTTCTTGTCTCCCCTTGGGGCATCGAGTAGGAGACTATACCATCTACGAATATACACACAATATCTAGATGAATTGCTGTATAGTTTTCTGTAGCCAATCATAGATGTGTATTTTCTTTTGTTGCTGTTTTGACCGGTAAAACTATCAACTATATTTATTTTTATTCTTCGAGAATATTTGCCGTAGAGATTAAAAATACAATAAGTATGTTACATTTATTAGTAACGTAATATATTACAACAACGTTGAGTTAATGTATTCTGCGAACGTGCAATTTATTACAGCATTATATGCAGTTGCTCCAGATAAGGTTATTTGTACCGTAATACAACTATATCTCTTGAAAGGACGTTAAATTGAACTTTGACAACATAATAATATCAAAATTGTACATTATTCGAAGTGCGCTACGAAAATTGAGAACTGGCCTGCATTAAAATATATGATACTCGGTGCGTTAATCAGAAGAAAAGCTCGGCTAGTATATATTTGCTTATTGGTGATTCCATGGAGGTAACGACACTAGCAGTGTAATGGGGAACGTCATTACACGAATGCACGTTTTTCAACAGGACAGAGACATTAAATGGTACTTACCACTCCAGTAACATCCGTAGAGCTCGACGCGCATGCAGACCGTCCGCATGTGCGAGTCGTAGGGCAAAAAGCGAATCTTGCTCGCCCATATGGGTGGGTCAAGCTCATGCTTTGCTTCTAGATACGTGTTGTCGTTGCCCTTAATTACCTGTAACAATGCAGGTGCATTTTAAACACATGTATCGTTAAACTTCATTACGAAATTTTGTGTAATTAAATGGCATTTCGTTGCTGCAAAACAATGATGCTCTAGATATTCTCGGATCGTATTAGGGGTGAGAAATTTGAAAATATTATCTCCATGATTTTTCTTTACTTTGCGTCTTCTTTTTTCTCAACAGCCATGGAATATGTAGGTCAGATTCATCGTATAATTACTTCTATCGCTTGGTATAATATTTAAAGTAGGCAAACTCGTGTAATTTTAGTAATGATGACGACATAAAAATGTGGTGTTACAGCTATTTTTATCATTGTTTTATAAATATTTTATCGCTTGTTTTATAAGTGAGTAGAGCACAATTACTTAAAAGTAACTTGCAGCTTGAGACAGTTGTTAAAATATGTGTCCATACTCTCCATAAACTTTATAAATTATTTAATTACTTGTTAACTTTATTTATAACTGTTCCAAGTTTATTTTACAGTCTGTTATTTCGTTCAGTAATATCGCTTAACACTTTGTAACATGTTCATGCTACAAGCGTTCTCAATAAGCAAACTTGTAAAAAAAAAAAGAAGAATCCGATCGATTCATCCAATAATGCTCAGGAAGTCTGAAGAGGACCAACAAAAACTACCTGTCATCCCTCTTCCTCTCTTCTTTCGTTCGCTATCAAGAATTTGAAGCGTCATCCAAAATTTCTCGTCGCCTGAAAAGCAAGCGAGCGTAGATTAATCGCTAGGACGATGCGCGGATATTGATTTTAGCGCGATGTTAAGCCTGATGGCACACCTGCGCATCTATGAATAAAACGCGTGGCTTTATTTGACGCGAGCGAAAGAGCTTTTCTTTTTCCTCGACAACGTTAAGATACGGTTTTATGATGCGTGCTCCGAGTGCCACGACAAAGCGTTATGGAAAAATAATGCCGAGCGATCTGTTTGTCTTAATCTTTGACAAAAATTAATTTCGTATCGTTTCTAAAGAAATATAAATGTGCTTTGATTTATATAGTGCTTAACTTTAGACATTTGCGTGATTTCAAATTTGACAAACAAAAGTAGTAATTTCGTTTACGCAAAATTACAACAGTTTTCCAGAAAAATGTAGGATGTATGACATTCAAATGGAGAGTTGGTCAACATGTCTTTTCAAGTCTGCGTGCGTGAGAGCAGCAATAGTCCCGTGTACCCCTCAAAATTCAAGCATACACACACACACACACACTCTCTCTCTCTCTCTCTGCCCTTTCTACATAGAATTTACACGAGTAAAATGTAAATATTAACTCGGGACACTATTAATATAGGCGCATATTCAACTCTAAGCACATTGCGAATTCAAACACTATCTCGAAATTTGCAGTTTTTCTCCTGCAAAACAAGTATAGGTAAAATATGGGCAAAATATGATGACAAAGTATGGCGATAGATACTATTCCATACTTCATCATGTGTGGGAAAAGGCACCCAGATCTTATCCTAGACCTTAAAACAATAATTAGATAAAATAATCAGTCCAAGATTCACATTGATTATCGTGTATTTTTATTTATTATATTTTAAGCGAAAATTTGACGTGCACTTTAAGTCTCATAAAAAACAACGCGTCGATGCAGATAGTTTTTTTATAATTGCTCTTTCTTCAGCGTTATTGTTTTTGACATAAAATTGGTATGTTGTTTTATTTTGTTGCAGTTAGTTTCTATAAATAAATCTCAAATTTCATACGTGAGATATTAGATTACTGATATTTTTGGGGCTTTCGGGTACAAGTGTAAAACTGCAAGCCATCACTTTGGAAAGCAATCGACTGTAGAACAAAAACGAGCTAGCAAAATCAATTGCCGCGGCATTACATTGCTGCTAACAACTTTAAAGCGTTCTCAATTAGTCGAAGAAAGAACGAAGGAGGCGCGATGGAGACTATAGCATATAGCGATGACCCCGACTCTGCAAGCTGCACTTGGGATACAAAGGATTCAGTGCACGAAGTACTTCTTTTGCGGGGTTGGGCTCTTGGTTCTCTTGGGGACTATGCATCTGTATTCAAGCGACAGCCCTCGTGTCTTTGTCGACTCGAGCGCTCGCTCACTCGCTTGCTCCTCCGGGGAAAGGTGTTGCACTACTACGGCCAACGTATCCTTCCGTTGCACGCCGGGTGATGGGATTAAGGTGTCATTCTGTCTTATATAAAAACTTTTTGTTTTGTTTTTTTTTTCTTCTTGCCGCTGTCGTACAAAGAAATTTTTAACGAGGCGCGTATTGCTTTGAAGGTTATAATTATTATAATCAGCGATGTAACTTTTGATTGAAAAAAGAAGCGCGAACTTTCGCTACCCAATGCGACAGTTAAGTAAGATGAATAATACATACACTTTACGTTCTACAGCGAATTTGTATTCAATTACAATGTAATCTGTGAACTCGCGCTCAGAATCTTATTTCAAACGTTTCAACGAAAAGCCTATTTCTAAATCTTCTATTTGACTTGGAACATTATTACAATATGAAACAAAGTAATACCAGACAAGAAACTAAAGCATGCACATATATATCGAGAGAGAGAGAGAGAGAGAGAGAGAGAGAGAGAGAGAGAGAGCAATCAAAATGCACAAATTGAGTGCAAAGATGAATTCGTTCGTATAGCGAGTGAGCGAGAGAGAGAGAGAGAGAGTGCTCTACTCTAATCAACTTGGCGTCTTTGAAACTTCCTTCCGGGAAGTAACGTAAATGCAGATGGATGCTCTGCTAGCTGCACCGCACCACACGCCGGTGTGTGCTGCCTCCTTGCAAAGGCGCGCGCATACGTATGCGTGTATATATACCTAACTTAAATGCAATTTCCTCGCCGCCCAACACGGTTATAGCATGCGGTAAAACGCCCGCGCAGAACGGCGTGCGTTAAGTAGCGGCCGATTGCATGCTACGCGTTGTTGTATCTATATGCGTGAACTTTGATGAGATTTTGTAACGTTATTACGCATCTTACTAGTTTTCTGTCTCTAAATTTAATAATTACTTTTTACGAAACGAGTTTGCTAAAGTGCAAAGTGATGAGATAAAATAAAAGTACAAAGTCATCGTGAAATATTTTCACTTCGCGGAAGTTTTCGGGGTAAAGAATTAAAAGAAAACAACAGTAGCAGCAGCAACAAGCTTAGGAGAACGTAGCACGAAGAGGTTTTTCGGAGAAAGAAAACAGCGGTAACACAGCGAGTAATCCGGGCAATCATGTGAGAGTCCGATAAGTCGAGACGTTAATGGCGGGGGAGAGGTGATTAGACTTCACTTTCTCTGGTCAAAGCATACATTTACGACGTCAGATAATTATCTAGGCAAGCAAGCAAGTAATTCGACAGCAACGGCGGGGGTGTCGTTTGCGTGCTCTGTGCACTCTATGCTTTTCGTTCTTTTTTAAAAGAGGTGCAGCTGCTACTTGTGGCTAATAAAGAAAGAGTTGAGAGAGAGAGAAAACTTTCATCGCAGGTTGATTGCTTTTATTATGGTAGTTTTCGAGAGAGAGCGAGAGAGCGAGAGCTTGCATGCTCAAGAGATATAAGTGTGCAATATGCTGCCCACGTTAATTTCCTTTGTGGTCGCGAAGTAATTGCGTGCTAATATGATGTGCTACTCGCTATACATTTTTCATTTGAAAAATATTTTACGTGAAATTTATGCGTTAACTTGTAATTTATCGGTACGCGATGTGAGTTAACGGGCAAGAGAAATGCGAGCGGATTGATATCAAAAGTACTCGTGACTGAAATGATTGGATTGAGCAAGAGCAAGCAAATAAATTCAACGGCCGAAAGAACGAAAAAATGAGCCACGCGCGAGATTGACGTTCGCGTGAGACGATAACAGGAACAGATCAAAACGATGGGTCTCGCATTCACGAAACCATACCTTTCTCGAACCTTTCATTTGATGGATTGGCCTCGCTAACCCTCTTGGAGTACTGGAGTCTACTGAGTCGAGTTAATGGGCTCTATATGACCCAGAACATTCAAACTTATTCGATTTTTTTCATAACGTAGCTCCTTCAGCTCCTTTTCATGTAGATGTATATTTATGATGCTTTACGAAAATTATATTTATCGGAGAATAGCCTATTAAAATAGAATAACTGCAGTACTCTGGTTGATAAAAGAATTTAAATTTATTATACGGACAGTGTAAATTACTCTCCGTAGAATGTAGTTGCCCAGGCAATTACAATATTTATAGGGCTGTTAAGTGCTCTGTTTTAATTGCTTTCCCCGGCTTGAAAAGAACTATTACATTTTGTACGTTATCTAGTTGAGGACCATTAAGAATAGAATTTTTTAGTATCTTAACGTTTGTGCTGTTTATCAAAGGGACCGATTGTGAAATATTAATTTAGTCTGAAATTTAGCAAAAGATGAATGCTCACTATTAATAATTAGTCGTGAAAGGTACGGCTCAATAAAATATACTGAAAATTACGTTCTAAGACCGATCAAAATACAGCAGCTGCAGTATATAGGGATTTCGAAAAGCAAACCGCAAGCTGTCGAGAGTGCAACACATCCGGTACACGTACGAGAGCTTTTTCGAATTTGCGCGCCGGCGACGCGTTTCGAGAAAGCCTATGTTTAATCCCAGGGTTCTTGCTCGCTCGGGATTTATACTCCGTATAGGTGGGCTAATTAATGTCGACGTGTGTATTACATTGGCGGGAGTACGCGTACGCTACTATTTTTGGCACTAGAAAGCTTACATTTCTGGGAGGTTTATTCGTTGCGACGAATTACGTTCCATTTACTTCGTAATGTCTCATTCTTGCGCACACGTTCACGCCAGTTTCTGTCAGTTTGTAGATAAGTTATTTAATTTGTCGTGTGAGATTTAGATGCGAAACTTGCCCAGATGGAATTAACATGGATAACTGAAAAAATATTGTATTTTCGGTGACGAATTTAGTTATTTGTTAATACGATAAACGTTTCTATCGCCAAATAT